AAACATATTCCGTATAATTAAGTAACGAATCGTAAAATAAGTAAATATTATGAACAGTTATTACATTTCTTGGTATAACATTTCCATAAACAAATTGAGAAACGACAGTCGAATTCTTGAATTTATCTTATGATCAATCAATTAGTACTAAAACAATATTTAATACTTCTTTGAAACCTTTTCATTTTAAGACACATACATTATAGTAGGGGAGCCCAAGAGGGGATTTTCTGTAGTTACTCGAGCGCGGCAGATTAACATAAAAGAGGTTACCTTGCACTCTATTGAGTACTTTCACCATAATATAAGTCTTCTATATAAAGGGGCGCGTCTAGGGAAGCCGATTAAAATATTTAAAAAATGTTTTGATAAGGTAGAAATACTTGAAACCGTCAGATTAAGGTGTGGTAGGCTAGTTACATCCTGAAAAGTGTCCAATTTAATAATCTGCCGATTTGCACAAGCCTAAGAGGCAAAAATCATCATAAACTTTATAGTCGATTTTTGCCTCTTCGGCTTGTGCAAATCGGCAGATTATTGAATTGGACACTTTTCAGGATGTGACTAGCCTACCACACCTTAATCTGATGGTTTCAAGTATTTCTACCTTATCAAAACATTTTTTAAATATTTTAATCGGCTTCCCTAGACGCGCCCCTTTATATAGAAGACTTATATTATGGTGAAAGTACTCAATAGAGTGCAAGGTAACCTCTTTTATGTTAATCTGCCGCGCTCGAGTAACTACAGAAAATCCCCTCTTGGGCTCCCTTACTATTAGCTTCAATAAGGTACGTATACATTATTCTTCGCAAAATGATTGATTCAATTATTGTCAGAGAAAATATTTTCATACTGTTTTCTATTCCACCAAGATCGAAAAACGCCCACGAGCTTTTTTGCTCTATTATATTGTTATAATTCATCATAGCATACAAATTGCAAATATCTTCTGTATAGTCTGTACTCTCGTACAGGTAATGGTTCCGTCAAGGAAAAATCATAGTACCTACTTCTGTTACCAATTATCGTTGTCATTTGTAAAGCCAACTTTTTTGGTCCTAAGTTTTAAAACTTTTTTATTTATGATTGCTGACGTTTCCAATGATTTACAGCAATATACAGCATCACGAGCGAGACTCTCCTAATCAAAAATCAAAATAGATTCGTGAAGAAAACCGAAAAAATAGTTTTGTTCAAAATGTCAAATAATTCGCTTAAATCTAAAAAAAAAATCATACCATTTTACGGTTTTAGTTTATTGGCAATAATACTTTTGTATAATTGGTTTTTTTAACGCCCAGACCAAACCACTGGATTTAAAGCAATTTAATTTTGTCAGTTTATTATTCTATACACAAGTAATCATTAAAAAGATTTTTAAAGTAAACCAAAAGGTAAAGGGATGAAAATGAACAGTATATTGAGGGGGCAAATAGAGCAAAGTTTGCAGCCAAAGTTGCCAGCCGATACACAAAGCACACCGGCTTCGAAAATATCTGATAGGTATCTACAGTAAATGAAAACTGCACCAATAAGTTATTTTTTACTTTTTAGTGTTTTTTTTTTAAGTTTTTTATTATAATACACATTGCTGAGTGCTGACCTATAAGTTGTCACAACAAACGAAAATGTTAACCTACATACATACTTCTGCCAAATCTTGCCAACCTCGACTAGATGGATAGCAGTGATTTAGAATGAGTAATGACTAGGTACATAGGACATTTATATAAAGGGCATGACAAATTACTGTAGATATTTTTGATCATACATTGTTGATGCTAATCTGATTTTAAACAGATTTTTTTTTGAAATATATCATCTACTAGTATTGCCCGCGGCTCCGCCCGCGTTCAGATGACCAAAAACCAAATTCTTAGGTTTTACATATTAGTATACTCTTACATTGCAGTTTTTGTATTTTTTCTCAGAAATGAGATATTTTCCCGCGGTAAAAAGTATGTTGACCCGGATAACCAGCTATCACCATACCAAATTTCATCAAAATCACTCTAGTGGTTTTTCTGTGATGCGGTAACAAACAGGCAGACAGACAGACAAAAAATCTAAAAAGTATAGATTCGGCCTCAGTATCGATAATAATGTTTATTTCAATAAGATTTTCCAAAAAATATTTAATGTACAGATTCGGCTTAGTTACAATTTTATTATATGTATAGGTTATGTGATATTTTAGAAGAGGTATTACACAAATTACGAATTTCTTTATGTTATATTGTTTCAGAAACCTATGTAGCTTCCTTTTACCATATTATAATTTATATAGATCCCTCTTTCACGTCCCACTGTTAGGCTCGGGACTCTCTTCATATTCCGTCACGCTGGCGGTGGCCTAGTGTGGGGCCGATTTCACATGTCTTTCGAAAACATGCTAGGTTGTCTCAAACATACAGGTTTCTTCACGGTATTTTCCTTCATCATAAGACAAGTGGTAATCATATTGAAAATGATTCGCACACGAAAATATCAGAGATGCCAATCAGGGATTTGAATCCGCTTCACTCGCTGCCCCGAGCTAGTGCGTTACCACTGAACTACCACTGCCTATACCTATATTATTTATAATTTAATAAAGCATTTTTAAAATTAACTTATTATATCAGTACTGAAAAGGAACATAATATATTCAATATTTTTAAAAAAACATTATTGAAACTAAATATAGTTTCAATGCTTCATTTGCGTTCTAGAAATAATATTCAACGTCTATATTGAAGCAAAACGTGCTTCGGTTCATATGTACATTGTTTCTTAATATCTAGTTATTTTATTTCTACTCCATTTTCCGAATCTTTTAATAGAATTGTATTTGTGTATTGAATTCCGCTCGCGTGGTTGGTATATATTGAAAAAACTGCGTCACTTATTCCGATATATATCTCAAGAAATAAGTAGGTACATTTAATTACTATACTATTACTATAGTTAGTTATATTAGTGTGGCTAATTCGTAGCTTTTTCTTGGTTGGCTTTAAATTGTTTTACGGCGCATGGAATGAAAACCCATCTTAAAGTTTAGTCTGTCTGTTTGCTTTATGCATAATTCTAAAACAACTGAAAGGATTTGAAATGATATTATTTTTATCCAAGACTCGATTTCTTAATTCGGGCTATTTTTGCCAATTATTCACCAATTTCCATGTTTTTTTTTAATATTCATTGAAAATATTATTTTATAATTTACTATTCAATATTTCGATGATTACATGATTTTCAATTGTAAAATTTAGACGTGTAAGTAGTTTTTGCGCGATTCAAGTGTAGGTATGTTCTGTTAGTTACCCTAAATAAATAAATGATACAGTCTAAGCTTCGTGTACTTCTTGCCCGCATATAAAACGGAGCCTCGGAAGTCATGTTACTTAATACAATAATACAGCAGGTATATAGATAGGGATATCAACAGAAGCTCAATATTCACCCGATCTATCCCGCAAATAAAAAAAAGGAGAAAAGACAACCTAAAAAATCAGATCAGATCAATTTCCACTCACAAAGTAATAATATTATATATCAAGGCATGAAAGCAAAGGTATCAAGTCTTACAATATTCTGCCACGGTGCCTCGGTGTCCGATAACTGAAGCGTATTGAATGGCATAAAACATATAAAAGGCGTCTTTGGGAAAGCCTAGGTATATATAGATCTGTTAGAGCCCTTGTAAGCCATTTTTTTATTACAATAAAAATCGACTTTTGACGCTATATCTTGCCATGTATACCTAATTTTAATTTATTAAGGGTTGTTTAGTTTACAAAGAGGTTAAAATAAAGGATAATCAGATGAACGAGACATAGAAGAAAAGTACCTTAAATATTGAACATATCAAATTTCACTGAAAGAAAACATTTCTTTATTTTTTTAAATATTAATATTATCTGTACATATAATAAAATTGTAACTAAGTCGAATCTGTACATTAAATATTTTTTGGAAAATTTAATTGCAATAGACATTATTATCGATACAGATTCCGAATCTATCGTTTTTAGAATTTTTGTCTGTCTGTGTGTTACAGTATCACGAGAAAACCACTGGACAGATTTTGATGAAAATTGGTATGATGATAGCTGGTTATCCGGGTCAACATATAGGATAATTTTTACCGCGGGAAAATGTCTCATTTCTGAGAAAAAATACAAAAACTGCATTGTAAGAGTATACTAATATGTAAAACTTAAGAATTTGGTTTTTGGTCATCTAAACGCGGGCGGAGCCGCGGGCAATGCTAGTCTAGTACTATAATACAAATAACTTTAAAACATTTAAATGAATCGAAGGCGGTTCGCTAGTATATTTAAAAAGAAGGTTGGAAACTAATGCTTTTAGATTTTAAACTACAAATAAGTATAATAAGAACAAAAGTTTCGCGTCACTTTACATCGCTTTTAATATTTCCAAGAATTTTTTTTTGATGAACTAAAAATACCTAAGCCTTAAAAATTTTATTAAAATATATGAACTATGTATGTAGTTATATTAAAAGTTATTAGGTATTACAATTTCAAATTAGGTAGCTTTACTAATATTGTATTGTATGGTCTGTAGTACTAGGGGGAATAGAATTTGTGCAAGGTATTTAAACGGTTATTAATTCGATTTCGTGCAACTTTTTACGAAACACATTTTTGTGTTTTTTATATCTACCAGAAGTAAGTCACAGACCTAACTAATAGTTATAATATACCTAGACATTGTTAACTGTCGAACCTAACCGTAACTTAGATAAGTTTAGTCATGTTAAATCGCGTTTGTTTCTTTTAGTTTTAAAATTCCGTCATATTTTAGTAACATGAAACATATAGAATGATAAAATACTAATTGGGTTTTAGTTTTAGACGAATATAATTTAATGTCAAAACATGAAACGTCAACAACTATCTGTCAAACGTCAGCTGTCAGGGCATTGCGGAATTTGTGGAATGCAAAAGAAAGTGACTTTTTTTCGCATAATTCTAAAATAAATATTGTTTAAAATGACAAGTATATCTTCATATAACAATGATAAAGTGGTTCAAGGTGAAGTTGAGTATCCTGCAAGTGACCCAGCTTCAGGAGCTTTCTTCCAACCGGATTATAAAAAGTAAGTCCTATAATCTAATTTACAATACACCCCTGTATTGTAAGTGCAATAATATTTGTATTTATATTTGACGACACGTTTGGCTATTTGTAGTGACCATACTTGCTGTGCCAACAGTCGCAAGTTCGAGTCCTGCTGGGGGCATTCATTTGTGTGATGAATACGAATGTTTGTACACTCCAGTTATAGGTGTTTATTATTATAATATGTATGTATTTAAAGTGATCTGTGTGTAGGGTATCAACTATCTAGAATCCATAATACAAGCCTCGTAGCTTACCATGGAACTAGATGGTGCTGTGTGTTAATGTCCCAAAATATTTATTTATATTTATGATTTAGATATTTCTTACATTGAATATTAATTACTATATTAATGTAGTGATTTAGTTGGGAATTATGTGCTAATTATAGAAATGAAGACCTTAAACTCATGCTGGATGGATCCAAGGATTCACTTAAATTGGAGGCAATGAAGAGAATCATTGGTATGATTGCCAAAGGAAGAGATGCATCTGATTTGTAAGTTACTTATTATGAAACCTTATTCTAAAGATCCAGCAATATCTTTCAATTTTAACACCAATATGACAAAACAGGACATCATAATATTTTGTAAACACATTGTGTTATTGTAAATTATATTGTGTTAAACACAATATATTTTTTATTTTATTTTATTTTATATAATATATGAATAAGTTATAAGTATAATTATTAGTTATCTTTATACTATGTAGGTATTATTCTAAATGATTTTTATATTAGTTGTTAAAAAAATAATTACTATTTTAATAGCTTTTTAATAGCTTTTTTTAATTTGGTTGTTTCTTTTATAATTGTATTTTTTAGATTTCCAGCTGTAGTAAAAAATGTAGTATCCAAAAATATAGAAGTGAAGAAGCTGGTGTACGTATATCTTGTGCGCTATGCGGAGGAACAGCAAGATTTAGCTCTTTTGTCTATTAGCACCTTTCAAAGAGCACTGAAGGTTTGAATTGATAAGTTATTTATACTAATAAATAATCTTATTTAATAGAAGATATTAATTAAAAATACACCTTATATTATATTTTTTGCAGGATCCAAACCAGTTAATTAGGGCAAGCGCATTACGAGTTTTATCATCTATTCGAGTTCCAATGATAGTGCCTATTGTAATGTTAGCTATCAGAGACTCCGCTAGTGACATGAGTCCATATGTTAGAAAAACTGCGGCACATGCTATACCTAAATTGTATAGGTGGGTTTTAAATTATTAAGAACTAGACTTATTGTTCTTTGACATTTGTATTTGTTTAGATTATAAGTGTTTAAATGATGAATTGACATCAAAAGCATATAATTTTAGAAAACATATTTAGAAAGAGTGAATATTAAATTTACAATGTAAAATATATAAAAGGCTAATGACATGACAATAATATAAAAAGTTCCTATATTATAGCATGAAGGCATCCATACTTTTATCATTAAATACTTAATTTTACTTACTATCTCACAGGAATGTTATATTGAAACAAAAAGAATTCAGTGTCATATAACACATTTTTCTGTGCACTAAGTTTCATCAAAATGCATTCAATAATTAAACTGAGTAAAATTTTAAACAATATTGTATATTTTATATACATCATACATATTATAAAATAGTAACAAATGAAAATCTGTACATGAAATATTTCATAGAAACAATGACTATTACTTAATGAAATACTTCAAAATAAAGTCTTAAAAAAGTCTAGAAAACTTTGCAATAGCATTTGTCTACCTCCTAAGGTGCACTCGCAATTACTATTTTTATCTATTTAAAACATATCTAGAGACACTTGAAAAAAGTGAGTGTAAGTTGCTAGTAAGATAATAAAATATTATTTATTTCCAGCCTTGATCCAGACCAAAAGGAAGAATTAGTGGCAATTATAGACAAACTCTTGTCAGACAAAGCCCCACTAGTTGTTGGTTCTGCAGCTATGGCTTTCAATGAAGTATGCGGGGATAGAATGAGCCTCATTCATAGAAGCTACAGGTATATATATATTTATATAAGTTTTATAATGCAATCTATCTGGCGATATTCAGCATTAGGTTGGTATGTGCAGGTCTGAGGCTTGTGCGAGATTGTTCATTAACAATATCGTTTCATCATTATGCGATCTACAACTTCACAATAATAGATGTTGTGGGTTTTTGCGTTTGAGCCTGCGTGGCATTTGCACTTCGTTCATTAGATCCTTTGCAAGTACATTAGGATGGTGTGTGATTCTTGTTTTGTATTTAGTCATCCTTTCCTTGATTTCCTCCTTGACTGTTTTAATGTTTAGGTTGTGGTGTAGACTATCATTTGTTATGTACCAAGGTGCGTTTGCGATCATGCGTAGCATTTTAGATTGGAATCTTTGCAGGATTTCTATGTTCGAGTTTGCCGCTGTGCCCCATAGTTGCAGCCCGTAGCACCATATGGGTTTAATTATGGCTTTATAAATGAGTAGCTTGTTTGTCATTGACAGTTGAGACTTCTTGTGTAACATCCAGTACATTTTTCTGACCTGTTGTCCCATCGCTAGTCTTTTGGTGAAGATGTGCTTTCTCCATGTGAGTCTCTTGTCTAGGTACATTCCCAAATACTTTGCCTCATCGTGTTGGGGGACTTGAACTCCGTTTAATGTGACTGGAGGGCAAATGTCACGTCGAGTGGTGAATGCCACTTGGACCGATTTGGATTCATTCGCCTTGATACGCCAATCTTTAAGCTATTTTGCGATATTGTCAAGACTATTTTGGAGTTTTAGGGTGGCTTTTTCTGGGAGTTCATCTGATGCCAGGACTGCTGTATCGTCAGCGAAAGTGCCTGTTACTGTGGCCTTGGAAGCCGGTAGATCTGCAGTATACAGAAGATACAAGGTAGGACCCATTACACTACCCTGCGGTACGCCTGCATGGATTGGGCATAGTGTTGTTACTTCTTTGCCGTGTTTTACAAAAAAATACCTGTTTTCTAAATACGATCTAATAAAGTTGTAGTATTCGATTGGCATCGATTATTTTATCTTAAACAGTAGCCCATCATGCTTTCAATCATCATCATCATCCTTTCAAAAGCATTGTTAATGTTGTTCACAATCCTATGTACTTGTTCAATAGTACCATGTTGTGGCCTGAAGCCGAACTGGTGGTCTGGAATTAACTTTCTTACTTTTATGATTGGCGATAATCTGCTCAATAATAGGATCTCCATTACTTTTGATGGTATTGGCAATAGCCTGATAGGCCTGGAAGATTATACGTCTTCAGGGCTTTTGCCCGGTTTGGGAACCATAAACCGGTATACATGAAAATAATAAATATTCAAAAGATCTTTATTTTTTTTATAAATAGAAAATTAAACTAAATAATCTATACAAATAAATAAAATTGAAGTGTCTGTCTGTAATGTACTAAATAAGAGCTTATTACCAAATGCATATTAAATGCAAATGATATACAAACTGAAAAGAAAAACACATTTTTCTTAAATTTTTTGTCTGTCTGTCTATTTGTATCGGCTAATCTCAGAAACTGCTAGAGTGATTTTGATGGGAATTTCACTGGCAGATAGCTGATGTTATAAGGTATAACTTAGGCTACTTTTATTTTAGCAAAAAAATTAGGGTCTTACACAAAAAAATAAAATGTACCTAGAAAAGCATTCGAACGATGCTAAAGTAAGTCACTAGTATAGAATATAACTACCTCAGTACTTATGTACCAGGCCAATGAGAGGTGTGTATAAAATCATTTGAAATATTTATTTATTAATTATTGCTGTGATATTATTACCCGGTACTTTAAAAATCACTTAAAAGTTATTATTTCATTTTTGATGGGATTTCTATTTTAATTTATACTATTAACTTGTGAATATTTTAAATCACACTATTGGTGAAGATATGGTGTAACATACACACACAATAAAATCATACGAGATAATTAACCACCGTGTTAAAATTTGTAAAAAATAAAAGAGCTTTGCTAAATATTTTAAGCATTTTTATATGTATATATTTATTTGCATATTTCGGAAACTGCTCTAACGATTTGAACTAAATTTTGTATTTAGATAGGTAGTAGGTATAAATGTCTCTTTTCCGAAAAGAACCATTTTATTAACAAAAACTCAATTCGATTATTTTCTTCAGGAAACTTTGCGCTCTTCTAGCTGATGTAGATGAATGGGGGCAACTGACACTGTTGAACGTTCTTACTGTGTATGCCAAGACTTGTTTTCCGGATCCTAATAGTGAAGTAAGTACTTATCTATACAGATAAATTAAATTGAAATGACTGCTTGTAATTTCAAAATAACTTTTTACTAAAGACATATGAAATTATATATGGTACTTTTAATAAAAACGCAATTTTTAAATTTTTTGTCAGTCTATGTGTTTGTTCAGGCTAATCTCAGGAACGGCTGGTCTCATGTTGACAGGACTTTCACTGGCAGATAGCTGGTGTTATAAGAAGAAAGTTAGGCAACTTTTATATTAGAAAAAAATTTAGGGTTCCACTCAACAAAAAAACGTACCTAGGGACCTGAGCAAAGAGAAGATAAGTCGCTAGTATGTTTATTAATTACATCTGCATATAATTTTGGTAGGTGTTTCTAAAACTGAGACAGAAAGTGTTCATAATAGAAATGAATAGGTATTGTTAGGTACCTACACATATATTTACATTGTTGAAAGTGTCCCTGGAGGTAGTTCAAAAAACTTCTAACATTATATATATACTAGCTGTGCCCCGCGGTTTCAGCCGTGTTTACTTCTCCACTTCCTTGGATAGTAGCATGATAATATATAGCCTATAGCCTTCCTCAATAAACGGGCTATGTAATGCAAAAACAATTTTTCTAATCGGATTAGTAATTCCTAAGATTAGCGCGTTCAAACAAACAAACTCTGCCTCTTTATAATATTAAGTATATATTATATATTTTTATCTCCACAGGCATATTCAAGCGATAGTGAGAAACCGTTCTACGACTCGGATAGCGACGGAAGCGACACGAAGCGATCGCTGAGCTCGCCCACTGTGGAGCCGGACCTGCGGCTGCTGCTGCGCGCCGCCAAGCCGCTGTTGCAGAGCAGGAACGCTGGCGTCGTCATGGCAGTTGCACAACTGTTCTACCACTGTGGGCCCGGTGAGTGGCTACTCTGTGTACATTTTATATTTTCTGTGTGCGTGTGTGTGTAATACTATATTTCTTCATAAACTTGTACTCAATTGTTTATTGCACTCTTTACGCTGTAAGATTTGTTATTTTTCAAAAAAAATCAAATTATACTTCTTCTGGGACGTTTGAAAAAAATATGAGACGCGCGAAAAAGCGACATGATGAAGTTAGCTGCATTCCTTTTACAAACAGAGAATTGTGACATACGGGATGAAATCTTTGGCTATTTTTGTTCTGTTACGCCAAAAAAGTATAACTTCTTACGTGCGTACATAAGTACACACACATGTTTTTTTTATTATTTATTAACATTTACTTATTACTCGGTATAGAAATTATCATTTTTATACTATTTTAAAACATTATGCATCGTTTTAAAACATTATTATTTGGCCTGCATCTTAGGCGATAGGCATATGAAATTATAGAATAGTAGACTTTTCTGTACAGCTTTTTAAAGCCTACAATTTTCAAGTACATTGTTTTGATGTATTTCCTAAGATTTAGCCAGCATTAGACATTAATGAAAACTAGCATAGGATTATGCTAAATATGCTAAAATAAGTAAAAGTATAAATAAAAGGACCGAGCGTGAAAACGATGACAGCTGTAGTGATTTATTCTTAATAAACGAAAATAGTATGTAAATATACAAGGAGGTTAGCTATATATATAAAATAAATCATACAATATATACTACGATATATACTACGTTCATATTTCAACAGCCATGTTGTAGGGACTGCTCGACAGAACCTGTTATGGGAATGTAAGATTTTCCTGTAGTAAAAGGTATCCTAAATGAATCACTATTTTAAATAAAACTATCTTTTCGGTTTTTTTACTGAGACAGAGACTCACGGCTCACTTTCTCGCGTGACCATTATTGCTGTAAAGCATTGAAAAAGTCGAGAACCAGAAATAAAAAAGTAAAGTTTAAAAAAAATATTTCATGTACATATTTCTCTTTGTTGCTATTATCTTATACATATATGTAGACATAATAATTAAATTGATGTTAGGGAAAATAACAAAAACGTCGTTTTATCGTTTGTCTTCCAGTTCAAGAAATGCCGCCCGTCGCCAAGGCCATGGTGCGGTTGCTGCGCGCGCCCATCGAAGTGCAGAGCGTTGTGTTGAACTCCATCGCCTCGCTCACTGTGACGAGACGGGTGAGACTAAACCCATTATTATTTAATTTAATATTATAAATGCGAAAATTTGAATCTGTGAATGTTTGTTACTCAATCAAGCCAGAACGGCCTGGATGAAATTTGGCTCAGACATTATAGTCTGTAATAGCATATAGTACATTTTTCCAGGCTAAAAAGTAGCCTATGTGCTATTCCAGACTATAATCTATCTGTGCCAAATTTCATCCAGATCCGTTCAGCCGTTCTAGCGTGAAAGGGTAACAAACATCCAAACATCCATACTCACAAACTTTCTCATTTATAATATTAATATAGATAAATTAAAAAAAATTCTTTTAAAACACCCAATAGGGTGCCCAATATGCGCGATTTTTTATATACAATTATAGCTAACATTGTTATATGATCATAATGATAAATTATGATCTCCTCATTCCAGTCACTCTTCGAGCCATTCCTCAAGTCGTTCTTCGTGAGAAACTCAGATCCCACACACATAAAGCTTCTAAAGCTGGAAATCCTAACGAATTTAGCCACCGAGGCCAGCGCTCCGGTGGTCTTGAGGGAGTACCAGACGTATGTCACGTCCAGTGACAAGGCATTCGTGGCAGCGACCATACAAGCTATAGGGAGACTCGCTGTGGCCATACAGACTGAGACTGAGACCTGTTTGAATGGATTGCTGCATCTGCTTTCTAGCAAAGATGGTGAGCTATTTTTTAACCAATTTCCAAGTTGGAGGGGGTTCTATGTTTGCTTTTATGTACTTTTTTTAAGTGAAACATCTTTAGAATCGTTGTGATTTGAAACTAGATAAAACGAAAATGCGACACTAAAAAGAGACAAACTACAACAAAACGAAAGAGATAGAATACATTACACAGTAATTGTTGCCATGGTAACCGTTGTTATTGTCTTACAAATATATAATATATTCTTTCCGTATATGATATTCTATAAATATATGATTATAATATGCCTTATTTAATTATTGATTTGTTTTAATTTAATTGCGGTCTTTGCCAAAGAAGTTTTACTTCAACCGCGCGTAAAGGTTACACGCATCCATTTTTTTCGTTAAGGCCTTTTTATGTGATCTTAGGTTGTGGTTAGTGTTATTGTGAAGAATGTGTTTATTGGTTTATGTTATTGGTAATTTTGTGTGTCTGTTTGTGTGGGAGATGTTTGAATTGGTTAAGGGATTTTCATAGTTTTTTTAGATACATTTCTTCATAGTTGTTACTGTAACGTAGCTTGAGTCAATAATGTTATGGGATGTTATAAAAGAAATTAAGCTTAATGTTCATAAAAGGCTTGATAAAAAACAAAGTAGTATTCTAAGTCTGGTTTACATTACTTAAAAAAAAATACTTTATGATATAACTTTATAGTTATTTTCGAAAATAATTTTTACTCCGACTTTAAAAAAGGAGGTGTAATTTTCAACCACTTAAGGGATGATTTCTGGGATATAAACTATCCTATGTTCTTCCTAGGGTCTAACCCTAGGCTAGGATCTAACTGATTCCATACCAAATTTCATTTAAATCGGCTCAGCGGATTAAACGTGAAAATATAACAGACAGACAGAGTTACTTTTGCATTTATAATATTAGTACGGATATAACAACATGTTTTTATATGTATACATTGAAATTGTCATGTAGAGTGGGTGGTGTGCGAGGCGGTGGTGGTGGTGAAGCGCGTGGTGGGCGGCGGCGCGTCCTCCGCCAGGGCCGCCGTGTCGCGCGCCGCCAAACTCTTGCGGTCTGATAGGTAAGCAAAACATTTATTTTGGATATTAATTTATTAAGTTTTTTACAACACATTTGTCTGAAAAAAATTGGCAAATGAATATAATTGAAATGTTTTTTCTTTTCTTTATAAAGTTACAAAATATATACCGATGTTCGGCCACGGCGGCCTATCTCTGAAATTAACCAACTGCGAAAGAGATAGTATAGCGCAGTGTGTGTGAGGGAGACGCATATACTTTTGTACAATCTACTCTTTATTTAATTCTTTAGTTTTTTAATATACAAAGGTTGGCGGGCAACGCTCGAGCGGCGGCCGTGTGGCTGGTGGCCGAGCACGGGGCGAAGCACCCGCGCGCAGCCGCCATACTTGCACACATGGCGTCTAATTTTGCCGATCAGGTACCATAGATTACATAATACTACATAATATACCAGTATAGATAATCCCGTATCGTGCTAGGTACTTTACTGTAGATGACCCGTCCCATAATGCTTTAATTTGGGGTATTCTTCGGGTTATTTTTCTATCTTGTATTTTACGATTGGATGAAGATATTTGAATTTACTAAACGGAGCGGTGAATTGAAATAGGTTTATTTGTATGTGAAGTTAATATTACACACAGACTGATATCAAGCTTTCTTCTTATCTAAGATCTACATAGCTCAGTAGCTGGCATTCTGGCCGGATCATGTTCTTGTGTTATGACAGAGTGGAATGTTGGAGTAACCTCTCGGTTTTTGTGGTCTGTCTCGGTAGGTGATACCCCTTAAAGACAGGGGTAGTTCCGTTAGGTTGGTTAGGTTTTTGTGGGTACTGGCTTTTCTAGCCGGTTTAATCCCAAAATTGTAAAAAAGTTGTATACATATATGTATGCCTTTTTGAGCGTCACTTCGAGGGGGATCAGGTCATAGCGCACCACGCTGCCACGGTCAAGTGCGGGGCGGACTTTACATGTTTTTCTAAATCTTGCTAGATTTTCTCACACATACAAGTTCCTCACGATGTTTACTTCACCGTCAGACAAAGTGATAATCATATAGAAAATGTAGTTTAAAAATAAAATATTTCTATCCCAGGCAAGGTTCGAAACGATAATTATCATGATAAATATAGGTTGATAGTTATCTTTGATAAATATAATCGACAGTATTTAATTTGCAACTCTTTAAATTATCGATCAGCAAAATGAACTAGCTCTCAATCAGCTCAAAAACTCGATCAGTTAACTGAGGATGAGGATGATATTCCATTCATTAATTTAACTAAAAAGTGCCTATGTAGCTGGTTAATTTTATTCTGTTTTTGTTTCTATATCAAAATTATGAAGAAATTATAATAATAATAATATAAATTTACCTTGATTGTTAAAAGTGTATAATTTATTCTAACGTTCATTATGATATGCAAGTAGTCTAATACCAATAACTACGCAGGGTTTGCTAAGTTTACTTATTTAATATGTTTGATAATTATCGGATAATTATCTTGATAATTATCAAAGGACATATTTAGGTTGATAATTTGATTATCTGATTCCAGGAGGAATTAGTGAAACTGCAGCTGCTCTCGCTGGCGGTGAAGCTGTCGATCACGCAGCCGGACACGGTGCCCGTGTGCCGCTACGTGCTGTCGCTGGCGCGCTACGACGCCAGCTACGACGTGCGCGACCGCGCGCGCCTGCTACGCCACTTCGTAGCGCCCGGCCACGGCGCGCTCTACGCCTACGCGCGTGACCTCTTCTGCCCGGACAAGCCGAAGCCGTGCGTGCAGTCTCATTTTAAGGGTCAGTTGTAATATGTTAAAAAAATATATATTTCTTATTTATATATAAAAATGCTACAACTAGCTACTGCTCTCGATTTTGCTTTGTTTTTTTACTCAGGTTATCGCCATCCACTGCTGGACGAAAGCCGCCATAAAACGCCAACCATCTCGATCTTTTCTTTCTTTAAATAATAAAAACTACTCAGAAAAATTTTCAGATGACATTTCAATTTCTTATTTATAGCTAGTGTCTCACAATCGAAAAATGAAAACAAATCTTTCCACGAGAACCGTTCATTTTTTCGGAATAAAAAATAACCTATGTGCTATTCCAGACTATTATCTATATCTTTGCCAAATTTCATCCAAATCTGTTAAGCCGTTCTGGTATGATTGAGTAACTAACATCCATCCAAACTTAATTATTTATATAGGTAATACTTTGCTCGGGTTCGTCCCTAGCTTGATTCCCAATTCAAACTTTCATCCCCATTCTCATCCCCTTAAGGAATGATTTCAGGGATAAAAACTATTTCACTCACTCAATTTTCATATTCACTCACTTCGCTCGGGTTCGTCGTAGATATGTTTTAATTTTTTTGTGTGGTACCTTAATTCTTTTTCTAAAATAAAAGTAGCCTATGTTACTTCCTATAACATCAGCTATCTTCTAGTGAAAGTCTCGTCAAAATCAGTCCAGCCGTTTCAGAGATTATCCGGAACAAATAGACAGATGGACAAAAATTAAAAAAAATGTGTTTTTCTTATAAGTACTGCATATAATTTCATATGCATTTAGTTAAAGGCTGTTATTTTGACATTACAAACAGACACTTCAATCTTATTTATATAGATAGATATGAATAATGGTATTATGATGACAGACCGCGACCAGTACACGGTGGGGTCGCTGTCGCAGTACATCGGCACAGCGGCGGCCGGCTACCGCGCGCTGCCCGCCGCGCCGCCGCGCGCGCTGGCCGCCGCCGCTCGCGACGCCGCGCCCGCGCCGCCGCCGCCCGCCGACGACGCCCGGGTGAGTGCGAGAGTGTGTGCCTGCCATTGTCTTGATGGAATTAGTTGGAGCGAGAGTGTGTACTTACCATTGTATGGACGTGATTAATGGGAGCGAGAGTGAATATACGCCATTGCTTATAGTGAACAAAGAGATTATATTACACGGTTGACCTAGTTAGAGCTTCTGTCTCGCACTTTTGTAAACTATACATATGTATATATTTTTAAATATAACATTCCTCAATAATAATAATAAAAAATTGACTGTCACAGGAAGCCCGGTAGATGTGAAACATCTATGTTTATTAGAATTCATAATGAATAAAAACCTATAAGGAAATATGGGATAAAATAAAGAAAAAAATAGAATGTTCAAAAAATATGTAAGTATTTTTAATAAAGAGTGTTTTACAATGGAGTGTGTATAGCTTACGCGCGCGTACACAAGGGAGCGTCATGCCGTTTGCCGTCACGGCATACGAGTTGGTTTTACTACTTCGACGTTCCAATAGATGTGAAACATCAAAAGATTATATCGCCTCGGTGGCGTTTTTGATGAGACGAGAGTGAGTGTCTACCGTTAAATTGACGGGACTAGTGAGAGTGAGGGTACGCCAATGTTTATAGTATTATTTATTTCAAAACATAGCTGGAGTTCTCTCAGAGGATTTAAAATATATGAATAAAATTTTATTATACATAATATGTGAATGTTTGACATATGCTTATTTTTATTTACATTATACAGAACATTCACATATATTTTAAGGATTTAAGAATTTTAAATTAAACTCTGTGTAGGCCGTAACGGGACTTTAATAAAAGTAGTGGACTGTATATAAAGTACGTATAATCAAATTAAGAGTTTGGGGAAGTGGCCGTAGTCCAGCGCGCAGGTAGGCGAAGTGGCGCGATCAGATGCGCTCGCGGTCGGGGAGGGTCCCCCGCCCGCGCAGCTCATACGTCACGCGCCCGGTAAAAGGGAGACGCGCCGACAAACTCTCTTTTCGGATTTTTTCGCGGATTTATTTTGAGTTTTGAAAAATCTGCAAAAGAATCCGACAAAATAGTTTTATTTAAAATGTCAAATATTCGCGTAAATCTAAGAAAATATTAACTTCGAAGAAAATGAGGTACAAGAAAAATAATTCAAAGTTAATTTTGACACAGAAAAAGAGTTTCTATTCGGAGCCGGACAGCAACGGCTCGGGCTCCTCTTCATCGTCATCATCTGAGTCCAGCGGATCTGAAGAATCTTCTGATGAGTGAGTTTTGCTTTGCATACTGGAATATTAATTATTATTAGAAATTTATTTATTATCCCATAATTTTTATACATTATTTTCAAAAATTGTTAATGTTAAGTGGTAAAATATTGTGGTTTCAGATCTTTACATAGTATAAAATGAAGTCGCTTCCGCTGTCTGTTCGCTTAGATCTTTTAAATTACTCAACGGATTTTAATGCAGTTTTCAGCAATAGATAGTGATTCAAAAGGAAGGTTTATATGTATAATTTATGCATATTATAGTACAGAAAAGCCGAGAAATTCAAAGATTTATATTTCATACTAACCGTTAAAACGTACTTAGGGACGAACCCGAGCGAAGCGAGAGTGAGTCGCTAGTAATATATCAATTATAATTTTATATGGCACGTATTTATTGTTTCAGAGAAGAGACTAACGATGCTGAAAAGAAAACGGAGAAGGAAAAGCCAACCAATAATTACAAGTAAGTGTAGTAGAGAGTGAGTGTGGAGAGAGTAGAGTTGGTTAAAAGGAGAATTGTTCTCTATTAGTAATAGCTAAGTGGTTTTTCCATGCTTTATTACGTTTGTAGGAGTTGTTGTAGACACATAGTAAGGAAATAATACTATTTATTACAATGTCGATTTTATTTGTAATATTCTTTAACTGGCTGCGACCAAGCCCAAAGAAGGGTTATGTATTTTACCTGTACGTATGTATGTACGTTCGATCCTATCTTTCTGCTCGTAATTGCTTAACCGATTTTAACGATTCATAAGCCATTTAGATTTGTTTTGGTGACGAAAGTGTGTGTCTTGGAATTTTTTTTTCTTCCAAACCTATCGAGAGACCCACTCTAATGATCTTTTTTAGATTTTTTTTATGTATATTTTACATATACTAATTATTAAAATATTTATTTCTTATTAATAGTGTAGATCTATAAATATTTTTAGGTACTGTACGATCCCATACAAAATGTTTAAAAATTAAATTATTAGTTATTTGTTAGGTCATCTAACTCTGAATCGTCGGATTCCGAATCTGATAGCGAATCTTCATCGAATGCAGAAAGTGAATCGGAGAGTTCGGAGAGCAGTGAAGGCGAGAAAGAGAGTAAGAAAGAAGAGAAGGAGGTAACAATTATTTTTTTAATTGTATTTTTTAATTAAATACAAATTGCTAATGATAATTACACACTGAGTCTTATACAGCTGTATATGTAAAAAAACCGTGACTAACTGACTGACAGATGTAACAACGCATAGCTCAAACTCCTGAAAGGATGGGGTTGAAATTTGGCACACAGATTATTATTATGCATCCGTAAGAATGGATTTTGAAAATTCTACCCCCAAAGGGGTGAAACAAGGGTTTATAATTTGTATGAAGAAATTATGTAAACGGGAATTGTACTGTTGACGAATAAGCAAACACATGTTTCGTGCTTTTTCAAAAAAAAATTTCAGGGAGTGGAAAAAGGTACATACTAAATGTAGGTACAAACTTGACGCGAGCGAAGGAGTGGGCAAAAGCTAGCTATTTTGTCCAGTCACAATTGCGTATTTAATTTTTTATAATATATGAGTAATGAGTATGTAAATAAAGTCAGTCTGTTATGTTGTCTTCTTTCGTTACGATAATCGTATAACTCAGAAATGGCTGGCCGGATTTTAATGAGGCTTTGAACTATAAATCACAATAAAAATAAATTCCTACTAATTCGTACATTTAAAATGTTTTTTAACTTAATGTTTATAAATAATTTTCAGGAACAACCTAAACAAGAAGGGAAAGAGCAGAAAAATGAGAAGTCCAATCTGGAACTGCTTCTGGAACTCGATGAAGTTGCCAGTTCTTTGCCCACTATGACGCCCACGTGTGGGGGGTTCCTGTCACCACCCACCGTCGCACCTAGTGGGATTGGAGAGAGTAAGTGTTCTTTTTATGATTTTTTTCTAATATAGTCTATAATAATATTAAAAAGAGGCAGAGTTTGTTTGATTATTTGTTGATGTTGATATTTAATCTGTATAATTTGAGTAAAAAAATAATTGGATTAATGAGTGCAAAATAAAAAAAACGAAAAAATGTAATTTTCAATTAACACCTTTGTATTATACAAAATAATGATAGAATTATCATTATTTTGTATAATACATCTCATTTTCAATAATCATACTTTTGTGAATTGAATTGAATTATTATCAGTTATCACTGAACTATCATTTGTGCTGCCTTTGCACATCTCTATAATTGTTTTTTTTTTATGTTAATGTACTATTTTTGTGTACAATTAAGTGTTATAAATAAATAAATATGATATATACTTGTTTATTTTTGAAATAAATTTGACTCACTTTCGCGACACTCATTTTTCCAATGTATCGATTTACCCTTCAGTCGTGCCTAAGAAGTTTTACTTCAATACCTGCGAGTTTAATTGAGTATAATATATTAATGAGGAATTAAAATGTCCGCCAGCTGAGCACATAACCCCGGTGGGTCCCTCGTTGGTGCCGGCCGCGCAGGCGGAGGCCATCTCCCGCGTGCGCGCGGCGGGCCTGAGCGCGCGCCGGCGCTGGACGCGCGCGCCGCACCTGTACGCGCGCGCCATGTGCGCGCTCGACCTCGTCTTCACCAACCACACTGCGGATGACGTGGAGAACATCAGGGTCAATAAGAAAGTGAGACATACAGACGCATAGAGAGAGAGAAGAGACGCACACATATACACACGCACGCAAACACATGCATACATACGCGTGCACGGACATACTCATACACACGCCCGTACGCCCGACAACTACTACCGAGTCATTTCAATTAGATTATAAGCTATATACATATGTGTGAACTTTAATAATAATGTAAACTATTTCCATTGCAAATTTCTCTCAAATCAGTTGAATCGTCTCATTATTAAAAAATTAATACTACTTGTGAGACGCCAAACTTATCAGTCTAACTGCGATTTTCGTTCAAAATGAGACATTTTCAATAACATTTCAACTTTTTTTTATGTGGCCTTATCGATATCCTCCCTTTGTTTATTGTATCTAAAACCTAGATATATTAAATGTAACTTATCTCTTCGGATTTTGTTGCAATCCAAATTATCTATTTGCCGTGACCATGGTCTAAAGATATAAAATTACACCTCGACAAAATCGGAAAAGATATTTTCATTTGAAATAACAAATATTCGCGTGAATTTAAAAATTATTTGTACATTGTTCGTCAGACTCTGACGGGGTCGCGCTCCATACACGAGTTCGCGCCCATCCCGCGGCTGGCGGCCGGCTCGGCGGCCTCGCGCACGCTGGGGGTAGACTTCGCGGACTCCATACAGCCTATAGAGTTCACTGTCATCAGCTCACTTGGTAAATTCAAATAAATCTATGTGTGTGTGTGTGTGTGTATTCAGCCCTTTCTATCGTCCCACCGCTGGGCACGGGCCTCCCTTCAGTACGAGGGTGATCAGGATATAGTCCCCCACGCTAGACAAGTGCGGGTTGGTCGATCTATACTAATATTATAAAGAGGTAAAGTTTGTGACATTGTAGGGGGTAATCTCTGGATCTACTGAACCAATTTAGATGAAATTTGGTAAGAAGATAGTTTGAGACCCTGGGAAGGACATAGGATACTTTTTATCCCGGAATTCATCCCTTAGGGAGGAGTCGCTAGTTTCAAATAAATATATTGGGCATAAACACAGCACCATCTAGTTCCATGGTAAGCTACGAGGCTTGTGTTATGGATATTACACATATTATATAACTTAAAATACATACATATTATAAATATAAACACCCATAACTGGAGTACAGACATTCGTGCTCATCACACAAATGAATGCCCCCATCGAGACTCGAACTCGCGACCGCTGACACGGCAAGTAAGACATAAACTGAGCCAAACGTATCGTCAAACTCAAACTTCGTACTTTATATTATTTAATATTTATATTAACATACAAGTGGACTTATTACTTTCAGAATGTCTATAGGGTAGGACCCAGTTCAATTATTGGGTTTCTCAGTAACAGCCCGGAGTTGAAAAGTTGGCGGTGTTTCATCCCCGTGCTGTCCTGTACCGATTTAGTTGTTTCAAAATATAATTCCACCTCTTATGTTGGTATAATTACTATTATTACTTTTTATTAAAAAAAAATCAATTTTCCAAAAGGTGAAGTTCCGGTGTCCATAACGCCGCCAGTGGGCGAGCTGATCCGCGCAGTGACCATGTCGCCGACGAGGTGGGACTTGGAGCAAAAGAAATTGAGAGGCATGACTGAGGTATTCTAACTTTAAAATACTTTCTATTTCTGTATGTAGCTGTACATTTTAGTTTGAATAAATAAATAATTATTTATACTGTTCATTGATCAAAAAATTTCTAGACAGACAATCCCGTGCAAAAGTTCTCTTAAAACTGTCATCAATTGTGTTTAGGTAATTCTAGTTGAAATAAATATACAACAATGTTAATTGCAATGATTAAAGTTGTTTTCATAAAAAATAAAATAAAAGCGCACCTAAATGTTCTAGTACTTTTTTAATCGATTGTATTATTAATTTTTCCTATATACACTCCAACCCTCTCACAATCAGCCCTTTTTTAACATCCCACTACTGGATACAATGAACTATGGCCTAATCCCCCTCGTATTGGAGGGTGTCCCACCCCCAGGGCCCCAGCAGTGGGACGTTAAAAAGGGCTGAATACAATACAAATGACGTTTTCCTTATTTATTATTTTTTATGTGATAAATAGATTTAACAAAATTTTACTTTGTATTACAGTGCAGTAAAAACGCGGCGAAACTACAAGACGAGCAGGCGACGTGTAAACGCGTGTTTGAAACAGCCAACGTAGCCGCCATCACGTCTACTGGGGACTTCCTTAGGTACTATTTGCGTTTATTACTTCTTCACGCTATAGAACGAATTTAGCTAAATGAATATAACCTGTATGTAGTGACATAGACTTAGTTGTTGTTGCCTGCTAACTTATTTTTTATGTGTATGCGATACTTGGCCAATTTTAAAGCGTTTTTATGTAGATTTTTATTTTTTATATTTTTTAGTTAAAAGGGATTTATTTAGTCTTCATAGGTGATACCGTAAATATTTCAAAAATAAAATTAATAATTTTAATGTGATTTTGAAGTCAGTGTGCATCTACTTTTTTAATTATCTTCGTTTTGTACATATATTAAATTAATAATATTTGTAATTTCAATATATGTACTTTTTGTTAATTATAAAGCTTATATTTTATCTGTACCAGATTCGCCGGCAGAACGATGTCAGCTCAAGATCTAGTTTTATTATCTGTGAAAATAGAAGAAGATGGCGCCATCGTTACCGCCAACTGTCCCAACATGGCGATAGCGTCCTTACTCGCCAATGCAGTCGCACAGGCTTTGAACAAAGAGTGAAATTAATGTCGAATGTAAAAATATCTAATTAATGATCTGGGTGGTACTGTTGTTGTTTCTTTAAGTTTTAATACGTAAATAGTAATATTTTGTTGAAGGCTAGTTTTTGGTCTAGCTTTTTGAAGATTCAGTTGGCGGCATAAATAAATGTATACATATATACATAATGTAATTTCGCTAAAACTTATATTAAACTTATATTTTAATTGAAAGCATAATAATAGAATAAAACCGCCAGTATGGGTTCGGTTTAAATACAATTAATGGTCCCGTCAACTAGAAAAGCTAAATAATTTGTCATAGCAAAAAGATGGGAAATTACTTTGATGTCGCTCACGTTATAAAAAAGAAGCATCTTTCAAACAATCATATGTCAAATACAAACAAGGCAGATAGGCGTTTAAATTAACCCATTTCCAAAAAGCAGGTGTGGTACAATTTTTATATATATAAATATATATTATTGAATTACCATCACTTCGCTCGTGTTCCCTAAGTTTGAATGGTTTAGGAACGCATAAAAGACAAACGCCCAAAGAAAAATTCTTTTTTTTTGCACCAGGCACCTTTGCAGGCGTATCGAGAATAACCCACCAGAGTTTCATCAAATCGGATCAATGGTTTATGAACGCATCTATGTTCTCTAGAACAAACATACATACATTCATTTTTACTTTAACATATTTTCTATTCTTTTCAAAATGTTATTTAGCACTTGCGCTTTATGTATTTGAAACATAGCCTCCTGGACCATTATTTTATTGCCGACTACAGAAAAAAGAGAAAACAATTTGGATGTATGTCTATGTGTACGTTACGCGATATCTTCGCTAATGGAAAACTATTTTTGTTTTTTTTAATTGACATGCTATATCTAACGTCACTTTTAATTGATATAAAATCTATACATATAATAAATAATACTAACTAAGCGAAAGCCTTACATGAAATACCTTTTAAAAATAATTACTCTCATCTGTATAAGATACAGAATACAGACCCCAAAACTTACATAATATATGTATTTATAATATATATTAGAGTTTTTAAAATTTTGTCTTTATATCTGTGTGCATTTCACGCAAAAAGTGCTGAACCGATTTTAACAAAATTATGTGTAGTGATAACTTATTACTCGCGTCGACCTTTAGGATACCTTTTACTACAGGAAAATCGATCATTCCCACGGGAAAACACAATAACTGGTTCTATTGAGTCTTCCTTAGAAATTTATATGGCTAACGCTGGCTAAACCTTAAGAAATATATTATCAAAGCAATGTACTAGAAAACTGTAGGTCTTAAATTGACCTAAAAATCCTCGATAGCATGAGTGTATTTTCTAAGGTACACTCACAATAACAATTTTTATATATTTAACACGTATCTAATATATGTATATCTAGTATACATATGTATAATATATATACGTATCTAACATAGAAGAAATAAAATCATTAAAGTCAGTTCATAACTAGCGATATATCGCATGATATACTCAAAAGACACTCGTAATGAGTTTTTTAAAGTCTGTCAATTAAGTCTTAAATGGATGTTTACATATATTGAAAAATTAAAATCTTTTATGTTATTGTTTCTGTAATTAGCAAATAATAGATATGTTACTGCAAACCTTTGAATATTCCATAATAATTTAGCACTTTAGTTATAAAATTATACACTGCTGTTAGAATTAAGAAACATATAATAAATATCATCATATCTGAACATGTGTGTGTTTTATTGAAAAATGTTGGTTGAAGTATAAAACCGAAATAAAACATTTTACTTTAAATTCATCAGAAACAAAGAAAAATCATTTAAATAAATGTATATAGATGGCATTATATGTATCGATTAGTAATTTAAGTATGTCTAAATTAAATAAAAGATAAAAAAAAAGATTCCAACAAGGTAATTTATGATTAAAAAAACTAAGTAAACGAAATATCTATTTCGCATGTTCATAAATGAAATTAACCTATTTTTTTTATAATGGCTTATAGTTGCGTTAACAGACGCAATCCATTCTGCCAGTGTCACGTTTTGTAAGGAAGACACGAATGAGATTGAGCGGTAATTTTGAAATTTGGTAACTATATTGTGGAGTTAAAACTATAAATGAATGATCGGTCTACAAGAGTAACCTACAATAATAGAAAACTAATTACAGAATACAAAAATGATACTAACCTAATTTTACTGATTTCAATAATTATTAAAAATCAGTTATCAGATAATGGATTTGTAGTGCGTTCTCACAGATGGCGCTTCTATCTTTTGTACTCTACTTTTGTGTCACACTAATTTTTGTGTGCAATGAAGTATTTATCTATCCACTTTTTATGAATTGCTTACCATACGGTATATGTATGGTTAAAACTCTACAAATCACAGATTTTTTTAAATTAAATTCATAATGAATTTTGCAAATATTAAAAAAAAATAGACTTTTACATATGTGCACATTTAAAAAAAATTTTTTATTGCTCTAATCAGAAAATTAAAAATGTCTGTTTGTTGTCCATCCAAAAAATAGCTTAATAATTAAGAGATTTTTGAATAATTCGCAGCAGCTAATAAAATAAGTCAAAACATAATTTTTATAACATATTATGAAATTTAAAAGCATTGAGAGAAAATTCTGGTAAAAAATAAAAATCAAAAATGGAGATTCACATTTTTTATTGTTTTATATAAATTTTTTGTATATGCTTATAAAATATCAATAGCCACATAATACTATGTACAGATCTTAAAATAATACTGTCAGTAAAATAATATTCCTTAGATTAATGCTGCGGATAGTGACCCCAAGTGGGGGCCATACTGACCCCCAACCCATATGGGTTATTCATAACTAATCTCGGCCTTTTGGGGTCTTCGTGCAAAGTTTGAGGGACCATTTGATGTTGATTATGATGTGGTTGAACTTCCAATATCCTATCCTTCTTCGAAATACGTTTCTTTGCATTTGTATCTGGGGTTACCCTACGCTCGCCCCATAAGCGTTCCATTAAAACCATCCTAGATTGAACTCCTTGAGGGTCTTCTACTTGCTTTCTTGATATGGGGGTGTTTGCGACCCTTTGCTTCATAGCTTCTAATCTTTCTTCCGTTTGAGTCATTTGAACAATTGGCAAACCGTGAGAATTGCAAATGTTATGGAGAACACAACAGGCAATTACCATCATGGCAACAGTTTGTGGATCAAATTGCTTGTTGCAAGTTGCTTGTAGACATTTCCATCGGGATTTGAGCTGTTTAATAGTTTCTAAAACAACCAAGTGTGTCTGTGAGTGTATGTTCATGTAATACTTTTCAGGTGAATCTGGAGATTTCTTTGTTATTTTTGGCATGGGAACCATTATGTATGGTTTTTGTGAGTAATGACCTCCACCTGTAATGAATAATAATTTTTTATTTCTTCAAAAAACAAGACTCGCAAAATTCAGCAATATAATGTTCGAAAAATTTAATGGCATTGTACTGTTTTTCTAATGCAAATAGAGAAAGCAAGTGACAAGGAAGAAAATTATGTTCGTGAGAAGGAAGGTTCTAACGACTTATATTTCAGATATGGTAAAATAGCTTATTTTATAATATATTCATCCATAATAAAGTTACTCATTGATATTTTTGGTATATTCCACTATATTTTTAGTATATTTATACTTATTATACTTAAAGGCACAATCTCTACAAAAATTGTTTAAAATATAGAATGCATACCAACAAGCCAGCATAATTCCCTCGCTTGATTCAAGCTCTCCAAATCAACTTTTACTGCATGTTGATTCAAAATGGCGTCGTGTGAGAATGATCCTCCGGGTCCTGCATCTACACTCATAATGTTCATATTACTGTCACATATCTGCAACAAATATTAATAATTGTACATTTAAAAGTTGTATTAATACTAAATCAAAATTTGGTTATTTGTTCTAACTCTACTTAATGTGCCAGCGGTCACGCTATTGAGTCCCGCTTGGGGCATTAATCTGCGATGAGCACGAATGTTTGTACTTCAGTCGTGGGTGTTTTTATTTATAATATGTATGTATTTAAAGGTAAAAATGTGTAGTTTCCATTGCATTGGTTTTATTTTATTTATACCTTTTCAGGTTTTTTCACAGATTTCTTTTGGATTTTTAGTTCCCGATGTTTCATATGCTTTAAAGCAATCATGATTTAAGGAGATATCAAGATATAAATTTGTGTAAAAGTTTTATTTCAAATGTCACATATTCACAAAAATCTAAGAAAGTAATACATGTATAGAAGTTCTCTCATTAACTTCACTAGACAAACAAGATGGTTAGATTTAAAATACTAAAGCTTGAATATGATTTTAAAATAAGATATGTTAAGTAAATTTGAATTCAGGTTTTTAAAATCTTCATATTTTTTGTTCAATTCTAACAAACTTCTACAAAACTGAATATAATATAATATTGAGAAAGTTTATTGTACTCACAATTTGTACTTTTTTAGAATGATATGATTTGTTAAAGTGTTTCTTTTGATCATCATCAGGCCGTGCAATGGGTACGTGCATACAGTCCACACATCCAACCACATTGGGTATACCATATTTCATATAAAATCTAAAAATTATTTTGAAGAATAAAAAATAATAAAATAAAGTATATTGTTATTTACAATAACTGTTAGGATTAATTCTAGCAGGTTTGCCAACAAGGTAATTTTTCATTTAATAGTTATAATTTTTAACCCATAGAAAATATTATATTGGGTGCAAACATCGATCAAAAAAGTACTTGATACTCAATCAGCGACAAAATTTCTTTACCAAATGAGCGCTCATTGAAACATTTGAGTGCACTTGTAATTTAGTAGCATTCGAATGCTCCTATAGTAAACATGTCACAGTGCTTGTTTAAAAATTGCAAAAATACATACTTTTTATACATCACTTTGTAAAAACAACTTTAAGCATTGGCTTTTAAAGTTGAATTTACATTGTTGTATATTTATTTCAACTAGAAGAATAACCTAAACAAAATTGGTGACAGTTTTAAGAGAACTTTTGCACGGGAATGTGTATCTAGTAATTTTTTGATAAATGGGTGCAAAATTTTTTTTTCTTTGTTGGTTAGGAATGAATTCATAAAAAATGTTTGATGCTCACAATGAAATAGGTAACTAGTAGGAACTACAGTACGAAATATAAGAATCAATATACTGATCTTACCCGTTTTTAACAAGTTCTCTTTCATTTCTTAGATGTGGAAAATGTATATATTTTTTAACGATGGATGGATGGTTTATAGCTTCCGTTACTTGAATTACAGCAGTTGACACAAAATACTGGGTAATACCTGGATCGGATCTACCGCCAATTGACTTTTGATATTTGCCTGTAGCATAGAAGGAAAGGGCTGCCATCACCTATTAAAGCAATTCTAAATTACAAAAAAAACATTTTTATATAATAATAATGTTGTTGTATTTACTTTTATTTCTTTATACTCATATCATTTAAATACAAAGTCTAATTTTTTTTTATTTACAATAATATGTAAACTTACTTTACTCTCAACAGAGAACTCAATAGATTTCGTAGATTCCGGCATAACTGGTTTTAATTCTTCACAAAGACCTCGCGCCAGATCTTTTGAAAGTCTAAAAGTGTCTATAAAGGCGGCATCACTCAAATCAAACGGATCTGAGTCGTCTCTAGGCCTGTGCATGCTTTGCTCTACACTTTTTGCTTTTTCCAAACTCCGAGGCTCATGTTGCTTTTGCGATTGCGACGTATCCCACTTAAGTAACTCCAAGAACACTGGCTCTTCATCAACTACGGATATATAGCCATCTTCTGGCGGTTTATCGGCCATTTAGAAGCAGTTTTTCAGTTTTTATTTAAGCACTATAAAATAAAATACATTTATATCAAACGCAGCTTGTGTTGACGAAAATGACATTAGTTTGTGTCGCCAGTAAAGATGTGTCAAATCGTTACTAACTCGAGTTAACTTGTCTTAGTTGGGCTTAACTCGAACTAACTCGAGTTGAATTCTCTCTGACTCGAATTGGATTTGCGTGGTAAATGAACGAATCAAGCGCGTACGCGATTGACCTTACGCAAGCGCAGCGATTCGTTTGTTGTGTTCATGCTTTGTACAGTCGCCAGCACTTCAGACTATACTATACTTATGGTGCAAAATCGCTCCTATTACAACCGAATAAAATGCCACAGTATTTAACTTAATCGCTGTCGTCCAGACTCCCGTCACAGCGTATCAACCGAATGACAGCGTTATAATATCCATAGTTATATTATAAATGTGAAAGTATGTGTAACGGACTGGGGTTATTTTTTGGGTGAAGATAGTTCATAGTTGGAGGGCTGGAGAGTGGTATAGACTACTTTTTACCGCGGAAGATTATCTCATTTCCACGGGAAAACATGTTATAATACAACCCAAAAAAATATGATCAGAATTACTTGAAACCTTGGTATTAACGCTATTCAATACAATTAAATAAACATATGTTTTAGCACTCTTCGAAATTTATCCCGTAAGGGGGTAAAATAGCGGATGAAATTTTGTACGAAACCTACCTTTTTAGAGTGTTTTTTTGTAGTTTTAGCGCGAGCGAAGCCGCAGGTTCTGCTAGTAATAATATAAATAAATAAATATAAATAATTAAAATTGTCCCAATAAATATTTATTTAGAATCTGTACTATTTTTTTAATATTGTTGCGAAGCCGAGTCATTAAATTGGTACAAACAAAACCAATCATTTACTTCATTTTTCATCCAGTTAACTCGAGTTACGTGAATTTCAACTCGAGTTAAATCGAGTTATATTTTTTCCGAGTTGGCACATCACTAGTTGCCAGTTGTAAGGCGGCGGGTGGTTGTTTATCTTAATATATATATTTCTTGTGTGCGTGTGTATGTGACTGAACTCCTCCTAAACGACTGGACCGATTTTGATGAAATTTTTTGTGTGTGTTCAAGGGGATCTGGGAATGGTTTAGATTCACAATTTTGTGTAATGAAAGAATCATACAGCGCCATCTATCGCAGCTTATTACACATTACGTTTTCATTGTTAAATAACAGCGCCATCTAACGTTATAGTTTAGCAACTATTATAAAATAAAATTTGTTTAATCAAATGAATAAACTTTATTTTAATTAATTTTTAATTTATTAGTAGTTGTTTATTTTGGAATGTTTTACATTGGATCCGACAGACGGCGCTACCATCGCAGTGTCAAATTTTAAATAATATTCGAATTTTAATTTTAGTCTGTCCCGACAGTTAGCGCTGCGATCAAATTAAAAAAAGTTAAATTAAATAATAATACCTATATAATTCTTCTGTACGTGTGTTTGTCATCTTACTCCTCCTAAAGGGCTGGACCGATTTGGATGAAATATTGTATATATATTTCAATGGGCTCCAGGATTGTTTGAAAATACAACTGGACCCGGTAGGTGAGGCTGCAGTCGGTGTGTCAAAGTTTTTTTTTTTGTAGTTTGAACGCGGGCGACGCCGCGGGTACTGCTAGTATATTATATGTTTTTCGTTGTCATCAGAATATAACCAATGATAAAGAATGCATACGTTATTATATTATACTACAATTGAATTAATTTTTATCACCTCATTTTAAAATTGTTGCTAAGTCAATACGGCTATTAATTCTTCAATATAAACTCAATGGGTAAGATTTCTCGAAAAGAGGGCGCCATACGTATCGCCTATTTACATTCAGTCTGAGGTTAAGCAATTTATTATGATATCTCTTTTATACCTGGTTTTTTGCTTCTATCGTGTTCGCATCTTACCTGTGCAATATATTGTACTTGGAAGTTAGACCAGCTGAGGGAAGAATTGAAAAGGAGAGGTGCATCCTGTGGTGGTTCTGACTGACTGATGGATCAACATACAGCCTAAATCGCTGGTCGTAGAAACGTGAAATTTGGAAGACGTATTCCATATATTATATTTAGGCATCCGAAGGCAAGAATTTTTCGAAACTCATCCCCTAAGTGGGTAAAATATGGGATTAAAGATTGTATGAAACTCTGTCATTCTTAATATGAAATACCTACACAGAAAGTGGTTTAGATTTAAGATAAAAAATAAGAAATATGTTTGTTTTTTTCGAACATCATCCCTTAGAGGGGTAAAAGGGCGTAATAAAGTATACATGGGCAAAGAATTATTTATGATCAGAATCAGTTGAAACTTGGTATTAATGCTAGACAATACAATTACCAATACAATACGTGTTTTAGTATATTTCGAAATTCAATCCCATCAGGGGGGTAAAATGCGGATGAAAGTTTGTATGAAACTTTGTAATTAATATGTAAAAAAGTATAAAAATAAAAAAAATATTAATCTGTAGACGATTTAAGAGTTTTAACATCACTTTTCTTAAAATGATGTTAAAAATGTTCTTGTTAAAAAAATCGAAATCATGTATCAGTGTCCGTGAAATCATTCACCCTGGGAGGGGTAGATGAACGGATGGCAATAGAAGTGCATAGGTAGGTAGGTACATAACGAATAGACAAACGAATTCATCGTGTAATATTTTTATATATGTATATGTATTTACAGTATCATAATTCATAACTGATGCTATAGAAATTCTACTGATATCTCAACGCGCTTCCATGAGACGACTAGGCCCTAAGACTCGACTAGACTAAAGCTGGCAGCTATTCTGTTGAACACTTAAATTTAGCAATTCAAAAAGAGTACCTATAATACTGCGAGTCTTCTGGGTACCTTGTCTTGTAGAGACGCGACAGTATTTATTATTTATAACTTCTTTTTCCTGTTATATTGTCTTATTACATACTATTTTAAATCGATAAGTAGGTACTGATTCATGTTATTTCTGAATAAATATAAAATACTAAGATTTTAATGTTTTGTATAGATTTCTCAGGGAAGAGATATTTTCCTGTATTAAAAAGTATCTTATATGTTGTATGTCGAATATCACACCAAATTTCATCAAAATCCCTCCAGTGGTTTTTCCGCGATGCGGTCATAGACAGACAAAAATTCTAAAAACTATAAATTCGACCTCTGTATCGGTAATAATGTGTATTTCAATAAGATTTTCCAAAAAATATTTAATGTACAGTTACAAGAATATACGGCTTTATTATATGTGTAGATAAAGAAAAATAGTACCTACTTTGGTAGGGATTTAGACAAAGTTCACAAAAAATATCAAAATAAAATAGGCATTCTAGGTATTTGCATTGTGTGCAAAAATGGAAGTAGAGCATGTTATTGAAAATCAGTGATAATATGACACTATCAAGAGGAATATTTTATCTTTCCAAGAGATAGTTATTAAGGCTGTCTGAGCTTGACTTAAGTGTCTTCCTGGAAATTTTAAACAAGCATATCTAAATATTATGTGTATGTAAAAATAATAAAAAAACATCTAGAAAAATTCAAATTTTATTAATATTACAGAATACGAATAAAAGATAATCTCTATCTACCTGAGATCTAAATGATTACTTCTTTATGATTGATGAAATCCATTAGGTATATGTAGTATTGCGCCATCACTAAGGCCATGGAAAATTTGAACTACTCGAAATATTTTATTTATATTTTTTATATTATTTACACATTTTACAGAATAAATTCTAGAACGAAAAAACAAGTTTCAACTATACCGACATATACTAAAATTCTAACTGATTGTGAGTGCAATATGTTCATTAAATATTTTTTGAAAATGTTTTATTGAAATAGTCATTATTATATATCGATACAGAGGCCGAATTTATAGTTTTTAGAATTTTTGTCTGACTGTCTGAGAACGCATAACGAGAAAACAACTGGACAGATTTTAATAAAATGAGTATGACGATAGCTGGTTATCCGGGTCAACATATATAACACTTTTTGCTGCGGGAAAATATCTCATTTCTGAGAAATAAAATTCGAATTATCGAAAGACGAAGAAGTAATACTGAGAGTGTTAAATAAGATGTACTGTAAATTATTTTCATTAGTTCTAAAAATACGCACTAGGAAAATCTATCCACCATTGAATTCAGGAGAGTTAAAAATAAAAAAATAATATATATTTACTTCATATTGGGTTAAAACAAAAAGAACTTTAATTTTTCTGTATTTATTATATTACATACATTATGTATACAGGCCCTTATGTAATATAGTAGCCACGTGGACGTTGAACTTAAAGATATGCCCACTTCATCGGACAACTTTGCTTAATCTTTGAGATTTAACGATGCGAGGACAGTACCTGTCAATCGATCGGTCGATAAAAAATCAAAACAATATATTTTTAAGGTACTTGACATAAGACTTTAGAAATGTTGAATTAAACTTAAACACTTAAAGATATTTTTCTTTATTTATTTATATATAGGAACCTTTATATGATGTCAAAAGTCTTTTCTGATGAAGAATAAAAAAATGGCGATTCTTGCTGTATATTGTCAATTTCGATTCACGAAAGTAAATCAAGAGCATTAGGGGTTTAAAAAGGTTTGGCAAGAAGCCGAAAGAAGTAAAATAAAAACTCCGTAAATTGTTAATTTTTAAAATATGGAATATAGTGTCGCACGTTTTCAGTCGTAAAAATATTTTTGCGTTTCAGTATCGCAGTGTTCTCTATTTTGTTTTTCAATTGAGATTTTAAACTCTGCCATCATGGTTGTTGTCAATCATTTCAATTAACCACGAGTAGGTATAGTTAAACCAATATGTTTATTCAGTGACTAACGCAAAACATTGAATATCCTATATATTTTCGACTTATATTACATCAATTAATATTTTAAATGAAATAATATTCAACAGATAATAATTAATAATTCATTTAAAACTTTATTTTAGCATAATATGGTATAAAATTTCAAAAATGCTTTCAGGGCTCTAAAATTTAAATGAATACTTAAAGTTAAAATGATTATAGGAAAATATCTGTTAACATCCTAATTCTCCATTAACCGTGGTTTCAAACTCGACATGTGGAAAAGCTAGAATTTTTAGATTTACGCTGTTTTAAAAATAATCAGAAACGATAAATATTTGAGTTCTATAAAAAACGTAAATATTTCGATTGCATTATAATATTGCATTGGAGAAAATCGCAATGGTAGGTGTGGTCGCATTGATTCAAATACTATTTATTTTCTATATTAGAAATTATTTAAAGTCTATATTAGAAAATTATATTACAATAATGTTTTTCTGCGACTCTACGTTTGCACCGCAAACTTGCTTTAGTTATATTTAATGTAAATCTCACAAAAGCTCATTGATACTCTCTATCTCGCGATACTCTGAATCTCGCAAGACTGTGGAAACTGAACCTGCCACCTAATAAACCATGAAATTTTATCATATTTTATCATTCATAATTATACTACCCCTTTAAACGTTAACGTTGATATGTGTGCCTTTACTTATTATTTCTCGAATATATAAATCAATCAATTCTGATTGATTGACCTGATAAAAGTCATTATTAAAAATCATGTTGCACTTGCAATATGTCAAAATCATCCTTCGAGATAATAATGAAGACACATAGCGTCTCTTAGAAACAGAAAATTTCGAGGTATCACATAATATATCACTTTATCTGTATTCTTATATAAACATAAGTGTCATGCGTGTATGTTTGTTTTGTATTTATTCATACATAATATCTTCATTTGGTCTAGTGGCTGGAATGTACGTCTTCATATCTAGGGGTTCTGGGTTCGAGTCGTTTTAAGTTTGATTGAGTAGTTAATTGAGTTTCTCTGTAAGACATTCATATTTCCTAGTAACAGCCCAGAGTTGGTGATTTGATGCTGTTTCACACCCGTGCTTTTGAGAGCAGACTATACCATCGGTCTTGCGCCTTAGCTCTCCAATCGTGTCGAATTTTCGTCCGACCCATTTGGGCACGAATACCTCCCACATGGCTAGTGCTATTGAGATTGGCCACATCGTTCCAGGGGATGTGTTATTATTAGTAGGTATATATTTTTACACCATTTTATCGCAGCAAATATTTTGATGAATGTTGTGTTGTGATGGAAAGCTGCGATTAAAATTTCCCATTGTATATGTTCCTATATAAAGTGACGCACGGGAAGACTATTTCGGTGTTTTGTATATTCAAAGCAAAATTAAAAATTTAAGCTCATTTGTCTAAAGAAGTTACTTAAAAATGTTATCATCTATATTATCTACTACATCTATACATATAATAGAATTGTAGCTGATTGCTGTCTGTACATGGGAGATATTTGAGAAAAACTATTATTGGGGGTCTTTATTAACACAATAGAACCCAAAACATTGATTTTTTAGAATTTTTGTCGGTTTGTCTGTGCATTTCTGTGCGCTAATCTCAGAAATAACTTAACCTATTTGAGTGCGGTTTTCACTTTAACATCTAGTATTTGTTTTATTTCAATGTTCATAAATAAAAAAAGTTATGTCAATCAAATCTAAAGAAATATTTAATATGTAATAATAGTTAATTTTAGGGTTATATAAACTAGAAAATTAAAGAGTCAAGTCAAAAAGAAATTCAAGAACGTCATGTGACATAATGAGACTCGTTATGAGAATTACAAAAAAATCTTATGACTTTGAACTGCACAATTACAAAGACTAGTGTTCGCTTATGGTCGAAATTCAATCATAATCATTATATGTAAAAAAAAACTGTTTCAAAATTTTTTTTATAGATAACGCTAAAACTCGGCAATAGCTTCTCACCAAAACAGAAAAACAAAACCACTTGACAAACATAGGAAAAAATGTTCCAGAACTATTTATACATACATATAAATAAATATGTTGAGACATTAAAATAGGACGAAATCTACTTCCATGGTAAACTACGAGGCCTGTGTTATGGAAACCAAATAGTTGATACATTACACATTGTATCACTTTAAATACTTACATATTATAAATATAAACGCCTATGATTGGAGTACAAACATTCATGCTCATAATACAAATGGATCCTCCCAGCGGGACTCAAACCCGCGACTGATGGCACAGCAAGTAGGGTCACTACAAATTGAGCTAAACGTGTTGTCAAGACATATAGATATTAATGAAAATGTTCTATAATTAGATATTTCCTCTACCTTATATCCGAACAATGCTGAATACAGAAATCCAAAAAGAAAAAAACCAATGTAACTTAAAATTCCATAATCTTGTATGACACAATTTCGACTCGCACTTGATTTATATTATGTAAATCAAATCTCAAAGTTTTTCCTCATTACAAAGTTCACAGCATCCTTCACTTGGTCTCACTAGACTCACTTTTATCTCATCATGGCAATTAAATTTCCGGTCCCTTTATCACCTATTTATAATTTAAATATACACGATATTCGTACGACCATGTTTAATGTGTTTCTCTTCACTACATGTTATAAATTAAACTCTAATTTGTATTTGTTCGAGCTAATCTCAGAAACTACCATACGGATTTTTGTAAGGTTTTCACCGATAGAAAGAGGGATTATCTATTTTTAAACATTTTAGAAAAATAATCTTGTGGTATTAAGTATATTTATGAATTAAGTCGAAAAAATCTAAGGTCGGACCCAAACGAAACGAGGGAAAGCTAAAAATTCAAACTTATGCTAGACCACTGAATTACAATGTTGTTGATGTCCATAATCATTATGAACATTTGAACAACACATACATATATAAATAGAAAATGTATATGGAAAAAACTAATTGTTTCAAAAAAAACATTGATAAAATACTAAAACACATCAATAACTACTAAACAAAAAAAACGGTTGACATACAGAAGAGAAAATGGTACTGAACTGTTTTCTTTTTGTCAATTTACTCGTATTATATATAGAGAGAAGCAGAACCCGCGGCTTCGCCTGCGTTCAATCTACAAAGAAATCTCTTTCGCATATATATACACATATATATATATATATATATATATATATATATATATATATTATGAAGATATAGGTATATTCCTTGCCTTCCTCGACAAACTAGCTATCTAATGCAAAAAGAATTTTTCAAATCGGATTAGTAGAGTAAGATTAGCGCGTTCAAACAAACAAACAAACTCTGCCTTTTTATAATATTAAATAAAGATTATCACAGGATTAATTTAAAAACTCTTTTATTCAGTTATTCAATCACATATTTAAAATCTCACACATCAGTCATCATTCGAGCACTGCTGGATAATATATTTTAAATTATCTTTTTTGACATTAACTAGACCGACCAAAAAGCCTCCTCCTTTACTCAAGTGTAAAATTTTTGTTTTGAACTTACTCCAGGTAAATTTCTAAGAAATTAATTAAAATTCTAAGAAATCTATTGTTAACTGTAACGCCGGCGTGTCCGCGGCCCTGGAGGGATTAAAAAGATGTTCGCGTCCTTCTTTACACTTCTATTATATTACTTAGTGATTAAAATAGTGGACAAACAATCTCAAACTCTTTGAATTTTTAAAAGCATTCGATGAAGTATTCGTTATTGTTTTACTAAATATTTTGTCATTATATGGATTTTTTTTAAATTAAAATCGGATAATTAATAATTATTTATTGATGATCTTTAGTGTTTAACCTCTCTTTTGTCAAATCTTGTGATAATCTTATCAATTTTCTCTGAAATATGTATCGCATGGTCACCCTAAGAATTAATTTTCTGAAAGATCCTATTTATTGCGGTTTCAGTACAGCATCCCACGCCGTGCGAACCACACGCGTAGTTATGTATTACGCACACATTATTATCAATACATACAAGAAATTATATAAAAAGTTCAAGTTAATTAACTTTTATATGTAACTAGTTATCTGGTAAGTTTTTTTATTTAATAAACTTATTAATAAATACATATTATTATGACTTTGACTTTTCATTGCGGTTATTAATATCGGTCTTTGGTTTACATTTTTTTTTTCAAAAGAGTTATCTAACATACAACCAATTAGAAGCTAAAGCCAACCTTTCGAACTATTAGCAAAAATAATGAGAAACCGTTCTTTTTTTTTAATATGTGTCATAAAATTCTGTTATTCCTTTTTACCGCCTAAAAATAGATAAAGATATTTTTGAGAGCTTATTTACACCACAGTATAAAGAAAGTAGTCGATGTTTCAACGTTAATAAATTAATTTTATTTTTGGGTCCTTTCAAATATTTCTGTTTCATGTCGGGCTATAAATTCGTTTCGAGAGCAACAAAGCCGGCAGTTAGTCCTATATAAACGAAATGTAGAGTAATTTTCCTTATATTGTTTACTCAATTTGTTAGCATATTTTTCACATAATTATTATCTATTAAGTAACGAAGTATTATTTTACATAGATGTTAAGTGCTGTGGTCACGCGATCTCTATAAAGGGGTTAGAATTTGAAAAGATTTTTTTTAATTTCAATTTCCGTATTGAAAATAAAAAGTAAAGTTTTTTGTCTATATTTTTTGTTTATAAAGGTAGCAATAGTGTTGCTCAATATTTTAACTTTAAATAATAGCAATCTAATTTAATATATTAACTTCTTTTAAATTATATATAAAACAATAATATTGTCTTGATAAATTATTAATATTTTTTAATATTCTTTATGGTTAAACATAATATGTATCATAATAACATCACTAAATAATATTAGTAATTAATAAAGTTTTTTAAAAATTGTAATATTTATAATAATAACAGCAAAAATTCAATAAATATTATTACTATATTTAATTAATTATAATATTTATTAAAAATATTAAAATGTTTAGAAATAAAAATCAACAAATATTGTAAGGTACTTTATTGCCATTTTTTGAATTTTTGAAATCATTGTTGTAAAATAGTGGGTAGGCACTGTCTGTAACAAGTATGTGTTTGAGACGTCTATAACCTGAGTCTCTCCCGTGACCATGATTGCCGTTAAGCATTCGAAACGTCGGGAACCAAAAGTCAAAATAAATCCGCGAGATAATCCGAAAAGATAGTTTTATCACGGTAATGTTATGCATACATTACCGTGGTTTTATTTAAAATGTCCAATATTCGCGTAAATCTAAGAAAGTATTAATATTAGTATAGATAACATTACCGTGTCTGAGGGCCGTTATGCTTATGTTCAGTACTTACGTTCTAATTAGCCACGATACGTCATGGGTTCGATTTCGGAGCACATTTACATGAATGTTTGCTCTGATTTTACGAATAAATTAATAAAATAATTGATTAAATATTATAAAATAAAAAAACTGACTTTATTACAATAACACAATGGGAACAAATGCAAACACCCGTAACTACTAAACTACCTTTTTTTTAACGTTGGGAAATGCATTTACGCACGAGGTGTGGGACCACGTACGGGGGTTCGATTTGCGGAGACACATTTACATGAATGTTTGCTCTGGAATTTTACGAATAAATTAATAAAAATAAATTGATTAAATATTATAAAAGAAAAACAAAAACTGAACTTTATTAACAAATAACACAATGCGGAACACAAATGCAAAACCACCCCGTAAAATACTAAAACTACCTTTTTTTTAACGTTGGGAAATGCATTTACGCACGAGGTGTGGGACTCACCGGCGTAATAAAGCCAGTACTAGCCACTAAACCCCCCCCCCCCCCCAACGTGCGTTCACCTTGTCGTGGTGGGGGGGCTCAGTAGTGCCCGGCAATCCAACCGGGCGCGAAGCTAAGAAACGCACAGGGAGGTTGCCCACTTCGGTGGGCGGTGGGAGGTGGCCCTCTTCGGGGGGCGGTGTACCTTGCGGGTTGCTCCTGGTACTTCTCTGATAGCAGAGTGGACCTTGGAGCAACCCCATGGTTGTGGTGGTCTGCTTCGGCAGACCTGCCGTCGGGGCGTCGTAGTTGAATGCGTAAGCGATCCTGCGACGCCCCATTAAGACGGGGGAAGGTTTTGTTGGGTTTTAGTGGGTAGTACTGGCTGTATTACGCTGGTGAGTCCCACACGTCGTGCGTAAATGCATTTCCCAACGTTAAAAAAAAAAGCCACTAAAACCCAACAAAGCCTTCCCCCGTCTTAATGGGGCGTCGCAGGATCGCTTACGCATTCAACTACGACGCCCCGACGGCAGATCTGCCGAAGCAGACCACAACAACCACGGGGTTGCTCCAAGGTCCACTCTGCTATTAGAGAAGTACCAGGAGCAACCCGCATGGTACACCGCCCTCCTAAGAGGGCCACCTCCCACCGCCCAACAAAGTGGGCCACCTCCCTGTGCGTTTCTGTATTGCCGGGCACTACTGAGCCCCCCACCACGACAAGGTGAACGCACGTTGGGGGGAACTATTAAACTACCTTTTTTTTTTAACGTTGGGAAATGCATTTACGCACGAAGTGTGGGACTCACCGGCGAAGCCAGTACTACCCACTAAAACCCAACAAAACCATCCCCCGTCTTAATGGGGCGTCGCAGGATCGCTTACGCATTCAACTACGACGCCCCGACGGCAGGTCTGCCGAAGCAGACCACAACAACCATGGGGTTGCTCCACGGTCCACTCTGCTATCAGAGAAGTACCAGGAGCAACCCGCATGGTACACCGCCCCCCGAAGAGGACCACCTCCCACCGCCCACCGAAGTGGGCAACCTCCCTGTGCGTTTCTTTGCTTCGCGCCCGGTTGGGTTGCCGGGCACTATGGAGCCCCCCCACCACGACAAGGTGAACGCACGTTGGGGGGGAACTATTAAACTACCTTTTTTTTTTTTTTAACGTTGGGAAATGCATTTACGCACGAAGTGTGGGACTCACCGGCGAAGCCAGTACTACCCACTAAAACCCAACAAAACCTTCCCCCGTCTTAATGGCGTCGCAGGATCGCTTACGCATTCAACTACGACGCCCCGACGGCAGGTCTGCCGAAGCAGACCACAACAACCATGGGGTTGCTCCACGGTCCACTCTGCTATCAGAGAAGTACCAGGAGCAACCCGCATGGTACACCACCCTCCGAAGAAGGCCGCCTCCCACCGCCCACCGAAGCGGGCCACCTCCCTGTGCGTTTCTTGGCTTCGCGAGTACACTACTGAGTCCCCCCACCACGACAAGGTGAACGCACGTTGGGGGGGAACTATTAAACTACCTGTACTAACTACCCGTAACTAGAAAACAGTGTTTCAGGAGCATATCAGAGATACATAATATTCATGCTCAGACATGCGTGAAATTACACGAACATGCATACATATATAAGGTTAGTTAATGTAAACAAAGAAAAATTAAACTTATCCAGAGAAAAAAAAAGTGCATGCGTGCATGTGAGTGGGTGGATGTTTGTGTCTGTGTAATGTTATTATTACAATTTTTGAATTTATTTTCTTTATACCCACATATATATTTTTCTTATATTATCACAATGCAGAAAGTGGTAAAATAACTAGTCGACTTTGTGTACATAATAGATATATTACGTACATAGTAAGATTCCATATACGAATTAAGATTTACCTCATAAGTTTTTCAAAGATGAAACTTATAATAATGTAATAAATTAATAAGTGGATTCTATTCAAGAATATTTTGTAAATAATAATTAATATGTGGATCACAGAATGATTGAAAATGTAATTTTTTTTGGACTTTAAGAAGATTTAGACGAAAGGTATTATATATAATATATATGTATGATGATGATAAGAAAGCTCCACTATTGAACCACTATAAAAAAAAAACAAAAAACAAAATACTGCAGTTTAATACTTCGGCTATACCTACTTGCAAAGTTTAGTCTAAATCAGCTTTTCGCTATTTATTTTTTTAAATCCAAATTACTTTTGAATCGGTAATTAAATCAATAAGTATGAAGATTCCCGGCAACCTGTCACTTTTAATTCATCAGTCATGTGCAACAACAAAATTAAAAAATTGATATAAATAATATTTAATTTAAGTAAAGATATCTTCAAAATATATAAATGGTCATCAAACAGATGTGTTATTTAGCTTGTTAGTGATAGTCGTTTCGTTCAATCTAAAATATTAACTAGCTCTAATTAAAGTGCGTTATACAGTTAATCCTACATGAAAGACAATGACTCATCTTAGGATGGTATGCCACTGGTCAAAATTGGTTTAATTAAGATTTGACGTTTTTTTGGCGGCTTATCAAATAACTTCTTAAAATTTTATCTTTCTTTGATGAGGTCATCGTATTTTGGGGGAGCAGCTCTGCTGCAATAAATCTTTGACTCTAGTAGTCTTTCTAGTACATTTGATAAATTTATCCTATTGTTTTGTACAAAGCTAGATGCATTGAACACAAAAATTTAATTATATAGCCACGGTCCTTATTGTTAAAACATACTAAAATTTAGCATAATATTTGACTGCTAATGTGCCTTTCAGCTTCTTGTAATTACATTTTTTTATTGTTATTTTTATATATTAAAAATTGTGAGTAACTGATGAATCAATTATATTTGTCTAAATACTAAGTTATATTTATCTTTTTCAGATCTCCGATATTTTGTTTATGAGATTTCTAGATAGCCGTAATAATATTATTAGAACAAAATGGTTGGTAATGAGACCAATAAGCCTAATAATGAAGTACATGTAGAGAAGGGCCAAGATTTAAAGGATATAAACAAAATAAACTCTCTTAAATTACAAAAGGATGAGAATAAACAAGTAGCTCATTATACCAAAGATGAATCAGCCCCTGTAGAACGGGTTAAGTTTGAAGGTCTAGGTGACGGTGATGATAGTGTATTTTCTGAAGATTCAGATGTTGATAAATTACCTCCAATTCCTGATGGTGGATGGGGATGGGTGGTTGTTTTTGCTGCATTTCTGACTTCAGCTTGTGCAGATGGCTTGGCTTACTCTTTTGGTATTTTACATGAGGAATTCACGAACTACTTTAACGAATCACAGTCAAAAACTTCATTAATTGGAAGCTTATTTATATCAATACCGCTGATTTCTGGACCTGTAATGAGTGCATTAGTGGACAGATACGGTTGCAGATACATGACAATGATGGCAGGGTTTTTATCTACAATAGGTTTTATTTTGGCTGCTTTTAGCAATTCTGTAGAATTATTATGTGTGACTTTGGGTATTATAAGTGGTTTGGCGATGGGCATATTTTATGTAACGTCAGTAGTAGCTGTCGCATTTTGGTTTGATAAGAGAAGAACACTTGCAGTATCTATAGCATCATGTGGAATTGGGTTTGGAACTTTGATATACTCACCATTAACGAATTTTTTGATACAATTGTATGATTGGAGGAACACTCTAGTTTTACTAGCTGGTACGGTGTTAAATATGTGTGTGTGTGGAGCATTGATGCGAGATCCTGACTGGGTTATTATCAAGGAACGAAAAGAAAAGAAAGAGAGCAAAAAAGAGACTAGGTCGAGAAAATCCTCAAGTGCTGGTTCTATCTCATTAAAATCCGCTGGGGGTGAATCGGCGTACTTGAGCACAGATGAACTAAATGAATTGTTAAAAAGTGGAAAGAATCCTGAATATATATTAGCGATGTTAGCAACAACATTAGCAGAAGCTGAGCAACTGGAAGCGACCACGCAAATGAACGCTACACAATCGTGTAAAAGGGTTCATTCAGATATACATTTGCCTACATTTATTCAAAAAGGCGAACAGGTATGGATTATTTATATTAATTTTAATAAAATTGTTTACTGGTAATATTTTTAAGGCAAAATTCCATAAAATAAAAAATGAGCTACTAAAAATGTTACGTTGCTATTTAAAAATTATAATATTACAATAGAATTGTTTAAATTACATAACTAGTAGCTACAGCCAGTACGCCGTACCAAAATAAAATAATGTACCAACATTTTAATACTTGCTTTTGTCAGTTTAACTTAGTTTTATGTAACTATACAGATGTAACTATATATCTGTTTAGACATAAATATTTTGGCTATCCATAATTTACTTACTTTACACATTCATTATATTTAGGTTCCGACCGAAGTTATAGAAAAATTGATGACTAACAAAAGACTATACAATATAATCTTGCAAAACTATCCAGATTTCTTGACAAGACGACGGTCTGAAGTGAATTTGCACGTAGAGCCATCGATAGCTAATACACTAGCCGAGCCTACCCCAATGAAGCTGACTGTCATGGCCAAAAAACCAAAACCAACAGAGACTGAGCAAGCAAAACCAAATCAAACTGAAAATGTAAAAGATAATAAAGAAGTACCAAAGATTGTGCCAATTTTAAACGGCGCGGACAAGCAAGAGAAATCTACAATCAATAAGAATTCAGTGTTAAAGCCACCTCAACCAGGTTGGCTTTCTAGACAAATACATACTGATCACCATTACTTACGAGATATGCAACTGTACAAGAGCACAATAATGCATCGAGGTGCGATGATGAATATTCCAAGGTACAAGCTAAGGGCTTCATCGTTGCCAGATATCTACAGGAACTCTACGTGGTCGATATGGTCGGGCTCAGATAACGAAAAAGTAAGTGTATTATTGGATTTTATATTATTATAGATAACTAGCAAAACCCGTGGCTACGACCGCGTTCAATCTACAAAAAAAACTCTTTGTTGTATGTTATATGAACTAAAATCGTGATTAAAAATGGGGGGTGGGGGTAGAAAGGTGAAAATATTTTACGACCTATTCTCACACCTACCAAATATAAAAAAAAAAATTAAAATAGGTCGCGAGCCGTTTCGAGCCATTTCGAGAAGTGTGACCACAAACACCGTGACACGAGATATTTATATATTAGAAGATTAAAGACTAGTGATCCGAGCTGGATTTGTTCAGGCAATGCAAATTAAACATTGATCTCTATGAAAAATTCTTTAATTTTAATTTAATAATATACAGCCTAGGTCCACTCTAAAAATACATTCGAAATATTGGTAAAAGAATATTACTAAATCGGTAGCTTCGGGGATTACCTCCTATATTCAAACTTACAAACTCACAAAGTTTGCCCTTTTATTATATTAGTGAAGTTAATATATTCTTAAAGAATATGTATTTAAATAACGTTCATAGCTGTTGTACTCAACTGCTATGAGTCTGGATCGCGCTGCATATTTTTAGTATGGCCTTGATTGAGTAATGAAGGACAAATTTTTATATTAATTGAAAATACTCTTTAGGACAAAGTGCAGTCATTTTGTCCACACTTAGGTGAAATGATATCCAATATAAAAAATAATTATTGGAAATCACAACAATACGTCATGATTATATTGAATTATTTACTTATTGCTGTGTAAACGTTGGATTTTCCACCAATAATATTACGTTTTATTTCTTGGATTTCAAATTTTTTTTTATTTGCCATAGTATTTTACGGAATTGAGATTTTGCTTTTATTTTCCAAATCATATAGAAAATATTTTATATGCGTTAAGCCCTTAATAACATACGTCATATAAAGATATAATTGTCTTTATTATAACTGAAGTATCTACGAAAATGATTTTTCAAATTGCTATAACCAACACTGAATATAACCAACAAATAATTATTTAACTAAATTACTAAGTATTTCATAAGCTTTTTTATAAAAAGTATCAGTCTTTAATTATTTTAAATTCTATGTGATGTTAGCCTCTTACAATAAGTCACCTTATTTCTTCAGGATAATATTGAAATTCTAACCTGTATATGATTTTGCAGAAATGGTACGATCGTGTCATCCAAGGATTGAAGTCCACCTTCGATTTCAAAATGTTCACTGAATTCCACTTTCTAATGTTCAACCTGGCCTCTCTCATACTTGCTGTGTGGGCGATCATCCCTTACTTCTTCCTAAAGTCTTACATGACCACTGTGAACATGGAAGGTGGAGCAACCATGATCAGTATTGTGGGTATTGCGAGTGGAGTTGGAATAGTAAGTTTTTGTTTCTATACTTTATGCTTATAAAAAAAAGTTTAATAAAGAGTATTAATTACTTCATTTTAGACTAACTAATTAACTAATAGGCGTTATATTGAAGCCCAAATATCTTCAAAATACTCAAATATTTGTTTGTCTGTGGTGAGAAGAAAAATCGTCTAAACAGAACAACGAGACTTTTATTGAATGGCAATTGCAGGAAAACAGGAATCCAGCTATATTGTACTATATTTAAGTGTAATAATAAGATGATTAGATGACGTTCATCTTGACACATAAATTATGCATAACGTGGACGTACATAAATGCCCACTGCAAATATTTACCACGAGCGGGAATCAAACTACCACTTAGATATTACTACGACATCAAAAATTGTCATACAAATATATAACCGAAATACACAAAATATTTGTCACTAAAGTACATATATTTCAAGGCCAAACTTATTATGAGATGCTACTTGTATGTAATTCTGATCAGTGTGTTACGTTAGATAAGAAGAAACAAAACTTAGATGTACTTATCTTATCTTATTCAATAATATTAAAGTAAATTCGTAAATCTGGTTGTAAATATTTACTTCTGCGACGTTTAGACTAACAAATGATCGTCTAGAATGGTTTGAATCAGTATCAGTTTGCTTTTATAAATTTTTCTTAGTAGAAGTATTTATGAAGAATAATATATAAGAATTAATTAGGAAGAATTAAGCAACCGCTATTCACTTAGTTTTTACGTAACCTACTCGTATATAACAAATAAAGAAATTACATAGACTTCTAAATTGGTAAACTGTATCTTGATATCTTATAGTCAAAATTCATTATTTTTTGTGTCCTTTGCTTTTGGGAAGATTTCTATCATTTCATATTTAAAGATAGCTAGCGATGGGTTTTACTCACTTACATACAGTTTGATAAATTTGGGTTGTATTGGCACTTTTTTGAATAAAATCAAAGATTAGAATAAAACTATCAGAATTCAGTAATAGACATTTGAAATGGTATCCTGTAAGCATGCTAACAATACGAAAAATCCAGTGGCTTCAGTTTTATTTCTCCATAAACTCAGACAAAGTGTAAATATGTTTTGTATTTAAATTCAAACAATTTATCCGTAAGTGAAACTTTTTCTGGAGTACGACTTGTGCAGTAACGAATGTATATTGATATTTTTTTTTCATTTTAGGTAGCCTTAGGCTGGGCAGGGGATCAACCCTGGATGAATGTAACTAAAGTCTACGCAATCTGCCTTTTCATCTGTGGATTATCAATCGCAGCGTATCCTCTCATCATTACCAACTATTGGGCACTTTCTGTCAATTCCGCTATCTTTGGTCTCTCTTATGCCAGCTCTTACTCTTATACTCCAGCCATTTTGATAAAATTAGTCCCAATAGATTACTTTACATTGGGATATGGATTGATATTATTAAGTCAGGGTATTGGACACCTCGTTGGTCCTCCTCTTGGAGGTAAGTTTTATTTTATTAACTTTTTACTTAAAATAGTGTTATATTTTATAGTAGTTTAATTTAAAATGATGGAACCGATTTATGTCCTGAAAAAACTTTTTTCTCTTTCAAGCCTATCGAGTGATAAAAGAGCTGATACTCTTACACTGCTGGACCGATACTAACCAAACATAGCTAAGAACCACCGCAAGAAGATTTACTTTCAAATAAAAAAAAGGCACTGAAATTGGTCCATCCGTTTGAGAGCTACGATACCACAGACAGACACACACACAGACAGACAGACATCGACGTCAAACTTATTACACCCCTCTTTTTGCGTCGGGGGTTAAAAACATATGTCTCCAACTGCATAATATTATGTTCCTTTGGCAATAATTGTTCCCATATTTTAGTTCATTTTTTATGATTTAGTGCAATAATTGACACCAATGTTTTTTGCAATGGGTTTCATAACCCGAAATAAAAAATTGTAACCAGCTCTAATTATTACAACATTTCCAGGTCTCCTATTCGATATAACTCTTAATTGGGACCTAACGTTTTACGTCGGCGGTGTGTGGGTGATACTTGCGGGTGTGTTCATCGGCATTATACCGTATACAGCGAATATGCGTATGTGTGGGTCGGCGCCATTGCTGAATGAAGTCGAAGAGGCGCAGAGTAAATATTCGATGAATGCTTAACCAAAGTTTAGATAAATAATATATTTTATTGATAAATAAATATATTTTTTATTGTTAATTGATTTCATCTTTTATTATTTTCATGACGTAACTGTAGCCTGTATCTTTTTTATCATTATCTGATAAAAATTGAGTAATACCTAAATAGTTAAATTAAAAAACACATTATTTTGATAACGAAAGGTAATCGTTACTAAAGAAGTTTAGGAAAATCTATCTCTAAAGGAGTGGCAAAGTTGGCTCGTAAAATGATATTATTTATTATTTTATTTTGTATTTATCATTAAACTTCAAAATAACTTTGGATTTTTACGTTATTTAGCAAAATAAGTAAAATATATTTATCAGTGTTTTTCAAAATTTAACCACGTAGGCCCTACGAGGCCGGGGCAAGCTGCTAGTAGTAACACAACTGGCAAATATAACAGGGTAGGTATATACATAATATGTGTTTGAAAAAATAAAATAAAATGGTACTCGCTTGAATTTAAAATGACAAATAATTGCATACATACAGTAAAAAACTGCTTAAAACACATATTAGTATACTCATACAATACAGTTTTTGTATTTTTTCTCAAAAATGAGATATTTTCCCGCGGTAAAAAGTATCCTATATGTTGACCAAATTTCATCAAAATCCCTCCAGTGGTTTTTTCGTGATGCGGTAACACACAGACAGACAGATAAAAATTCTAAAAACTATAGATTCGGTCTCTTTATCGTTAGTAAAGTATATTTCAATAAGATTTTCCAAAAAATATTCAATGTACAGATTCGGCTTAGTTACGATTTTATTATATATATAGATGTAAACATCCATGACTGGAGTACAAACATTCATGCTCATCACACAAATGAATACCAGCGGGACTCAAACCCACGACTGTTGGAACAGTAAGTAGGATCACTACAAACTAAGCCAAACGTGTCGTCAGTAATATTACAGTTAAATATTGTATATAATAATGATAATTTTATTATTAAATAACTCGTCACATCTATACAAGTAAATATTTCTCAGAACAACTTACGATGAGTAACAAATAAAGTAACAATGAACTTGCTATGACATAACGTCACTTAAAACCGTAGACTAAAATAGTGAGATAGACCAAAGCATGACTGACGAACACAGACAGCGATACGATATTCTATTTGTATGCCATAAATTAGACTGAGCCAATTCGTGTCAGAGACGTTTATATGGTTTTACTTTTATTGCTCTACTAACGGCTCACTTTTTCTTCGCTCGGGTTCATCCCTATGTACGTTTTAAATAGATATAAATAGTTATTATCCAGTGTTAGCCATGTAAATTAAAAAAAAATCGATAATTTTTCCGATGTTTTAATCGTTACTACTGCTATGGGGCTGGAGACAAATCCAACAAATCAAAAATCATCAAAATAGGTCCAGCCGTTCCTGAGTTATAAGTGTTGTAGCAAACCCGACTTCGTTATATAAACTAGCAAATAACCCCCGCTTCGCTCGGGTTCATCCCTAGTTTTCGCAGCGCACGCCAAATAATGACTATTACATACAAATTTTTTATACCTTAGGTTACATTATAGAAATTTTTGTGGGGATCTCTAATTTTTGTGAAAATAGAATATGCCCCATGTTACTTGCTAATAATGTCGCTTTTGATAGATGAAAGAATTTTTAAAATTGGTCCAGTAGTTTTTTAGTTTATCCATTACAAACAAACATACAAAAAACCTTTTTTTTCCTTTATAATATTAGTATAGACTAGCTGTGTGTCTGATGGGAATTCCCATTAGCAACTTCTTTTATTTCGAAAAACTCATCAACTTTTCTTTATCTATTAGTGAAATAATTTTTATTAAAATGATCTGAAGTAAGATTTAATAATTTTTATTTTTTATTTATTTTTAAAAATTATAACACTCTTAAAGTCTAAACCTATTGTAGAACCATACATTCGAGAAGAAAACATAGATATTAGCCATTTAAAATAATATGTTTGATTAATTATTATAATAAAGAACAATCTTATTGAGATAAGCAAATCTATTAAAAACCCTAGCGGGAGGTGTTCGTGTTCCTCTAACATTGTGTATTTATATTTATGTTTGAAACAAGACTTTATAATGAATTGAATTATTATTAAACTCAAAGAAAACTAAAAACAAATATTAGTTAAATCTGAAAGTGGGTCAAATAAATAACTATTTATAATACAGATGCCAAACAGAAACCTGACGCCATTTCTATTTGATTAACATTTATTATCATACGGCTTTACGAGGTTACTTCATTAACCATTTATATACCTGTCATAAACCTTATCATGAATTAATAAATACTGTCTCCTTTAGATGAGAAGAGAATGATCGATGTTATGCAAAGAAAAACTAAGGTCATATAATATATACATATAATAAAACTGTAGAGGTTGAATATCTGTACATAGAAAATAAATGCTAAAAACCGAGTTAGGGGGGTGTAAGAAAAGAAATAGAACACATCCAGATTTTTTTCAATTTTTTTGTTTATCTGTCAGTTTGTCTGTTTGTACGGACTAATCTTCGAATCTATTGGACCGATTTCAATGAAATTTTTCATGGTGGTACCTTATATCCCCGGTCAACATTTTAGATACTTTTTATCCCAGAAAATTAAAGAGTTCCCGTTAGTTGTTGGATAGTTAAAAACTATAGTAAATTATACAGCTTAGTACGCAATAACTTATCCAACTAATTTAGTAAAATGTGGCATGCTGATAATTTATAATGCTGGTCAAACAACAGGTTACTTTTTATCCCGGAAAAATCAATGGTTCCCGTGGGATAGATCTGTTTGTGATTTTCTTTTGTGATTGCTAGTAATAAATATGTTGGCACATTAACATACTGCACTATCTAGTCCATGGTAATCTAGCAGGTTTGCTATGGATACCAGATAGTTGATACACTACACATATTTATATCTTATATATTTAAACGAGCTATTCTTGTATATATATATATATATCAATATATAATCTGAATCTCGGAAACGGCTCCAACGATTTTCATGAAATTTAGCATGCAAGGGGTTTCGGGGGTGATAAATCGATCTAGATTAGTCTTATATCTGGAAAAACGCGAATTTTCGAATTTTCATGCGATTTTATTTTGCATTTTCACAATTTTTGCATTGTCACTTCTGGTGAGTGGGCGGCGCCACTGTGCAACTGTCAACATCGTGTCCGTATTTACATCAAGTTTAAATATATTTAAGTGAAAATAATCTAAAGAGTAAATATAAATTTAAATAATAAAAATAAATTTTTAAATAAAACCTATGGGCAATATGTAAACATCACCAAGTCTTGATGTGTTGAAGAACAAATGAGCTTTTTAAAAATTCACCTACCAAACAAATATAAAAGTGACAAACATAACTTAAAGATACTATTAGTGCAAAACCATCTTTTCTGTGTGTGATGACAATAAAACAAAAATAATTTGTGAAGTGAAAGCGTCAAATATTAAAACATAAGTTTATAACCTCAAAAACTAATACTCGGTTATAAAATTGCAATTCAACTTGGTATAATTGGTGCTTTTTTCAATCAGCTTTTTCTACTTCCAACTTCACACATAAGATGGAGGACAAAAAGTTGCTAATAAACATGCAACAAGAAATAAGACAGCAGAAAACAGAAATGTTAGAAATGAAAAGAAGACATTAAAAATACAATCAACCATAATACACTTAAATGAGAAATTTAAACAGTTAGAAATAAAAATTGAAGTTCTTGAGAAAAAAATCCAGGAACAAAGTACCTCAATAAATAATTTAGAAAGACATATTAGGCGCAAGAACTTTCATGAACTCCTATCATGAACTAGAGGAAAAAAATAGTCTTAAACTAAACGGAAATAAAAAAAGAAGTCTGCCTGTATCTCCAGAAACGCCTTACCTCAATTATAAACAAAAACTAACAAATAAACAACATACAAGAAAACCATACCTGGTAATATTAAAGACTTAATATTACAAAAACCAAAGTTAACTTTCAACCACACAAATGATAACCAGGAACAACTAAAAACAACACAGCAAGATACAGTATATTAAACACCGTAGGAACCTCCTCATCTTTATCCACCAGTACGGCCGGTCACTGTGGGGGAGTTCGACCGTAACCCTCCAAAGAAAAACAGACATACAATGAACAAAGGTATACATATCTTCACCAGAAAAACTTCTAGAATTTAAAGCAGCATTTCCTACAACAAATCAAAAGAACACAAAAGATAAAATTATAAACTTTATAGGCATATCAGAAACAAATTATATAGTGAAAACAAAATTTGAAAAGAAACCCTTTGCAATCATACAAGCATAATCTCCAACGGAGAGCTCTATGCAGGACTACTTTGGAGGAGGCTTTTTAACCGAGAGGGGTCCTATACATGAAAAAGACATTTACTAAATAAATACATTTAATTATGAAATTAAATACCTAATTTATAACTATTGTCAGAATTAATGTATGGAAAGAAATTTTATTTATATTTATTATTGTGAAATGTTTAGTATTTACTCAATTGAATTATTTAATTTATTGTGATTGTTTATTTATTTATTTGTTAATGATAATTTATATATATACAATATCATTTCAAATAATATGAAGATTTTTAAAAATATGTAATTTAATTCCAGATTACAAAATTATTATTTAAAAAATTATAAGTTAATAAATAGTCACTAAATTATATAATTTTATATTTCAGCAATGTGATATAGACATTTTTGTTATTGTACAACTAAAATGGCTCCTAATATACTCTTAACCAAATAAAATTTTAATGGAATACTTTTATAAAAAGCTGTGCATACTTTTAAAGTAAATTTATATATAAATAGGTAAAATTATAATGTTAAATAAATGTTTTTATGTAAATTTAGTTAGTAAGCCTTTATAATAAATAAATGAATAAATAAATAGAGCTTTATTATTATTATGATTTCTTTTGCAT